CAATGGCTTGCTTCTGGCACATGCTTATTCAGAAGGAAAATGGTATGTGGAAGATGTCTAGGCCCTGGTTCCCTGGTGATCACATGACTCAGACAAGTGTAGCCTCTTCTAGCATCAAACTCTATGTAAGCCTCCTACAGCTGGTTTCACTTCACTAATTAAAGCTAGCCTGAAGATTTGACAGTGCTGCTTCTGCATTCCATCATTTAATAGTATCTTATACATCTTGAATATCTGTTACTAGAAAATAGTTAGCTAGAACCAGCACTACTGGGACCAGAGCTGGTTTCCAAAATAATTTCATAGAATTAAAAATACACAGTTAAATCATCTTGCCTGGCTTCTTTCAAGTCACACACTATGAAATTTCACTTGGAGGCCCCCAGTAGAACACAGAAACCTCAGTTAAGTTAAAGAGCTTGAAATTTCTGAAAGACAGAAAAGCTAAAAATAAACCAAGCCAGACAGCACCAAAAGAGCAATGAGTTGAAGTGACAGGATATAAATTAGGGAGAACTCCGCTGCCAGCAGCTGAGCTGTCCTACTAGAGAGGAATGGTAATCTGCACATCATGCAGATGGAAGTTTTACTCTTCCCTCTGACTAGAGCTATAACAGTGGACACAGGAAGTGGCTGGCACTGAGCAAGAACAATATGCCTTCTCTGTCATGGTTTCACCAGTCTCCTGGTGGAGAAAGGAGGATTACCCAGTCCTTCTGCACAGCTTGAGCTCAGCAGGCACTACAGTAGTGCAAACAAAACCAGTTCTTGTCAAGTGAGGCCACAGGTAGCTTGCAATGGTTGGTTTCTGTTTGAAGAAATAACTCCTTTCCTGAGCTTGTCTGGAGTGTTGGTTTGGGTTATCACAAGAAATTTATTCTCATTTCATGTTTTTTTTGTGCCAGGTTGCAGTCAAGTGAGTGGACATCTTCCTTAAGTGGTAACGTTGATATGACTCCAAGTCAAGAGCATTCCTTGCTGATTGACTCCATGGATAATAATTACAGCAAAGTAAGAATTTATATCCACAGCTGTCAGTGATGTGAGCCCTGGCTGGTGCAAGAAAGTGTGAACTGAAAGCTCTGAACCTGTAGCAGCTAATCTCTTCCGTAGGCACATGTAAATCCTTAGGGTTTGTGTAGGTTTCTGCTCATCTTGCTCTGGTTTTTTGAGCCAAAAGCCACATATTGTTCTTATCATGGCTGTGCTACAGTCTGCATAAGCAGACTAAATTTCAGGGCTCATTAAAGTGTAGGCCAGCATTGTCTGTGCCTAAAACATGGTCCTGTGTTCCTTGTAGAATATGGAAGGCCTCAGTGGTGAGCAAATATGCAAAGTCTGTGCAAACAGTGTGCAATCTCATGCATAACAAATGTTTGTGTTACTGGCCCTAGCATCTGTAATGTCTGGATAATCTGCCTTTTTCTTTAGCAACCATGTCGTATTTTTCTCACGGTCTTACAAACCTGCATCAGTCAACCTGGAAGCTGAAGTGGGGAGCTGCTTTTTCACTGCTGGATGACAGCCTGGCAGTAACCTCTCCTGTTTTGCTAAAGATGAAGCCCTGCTGAAGAGTTTCCCTCTGGTCTCTCCAAGATTTGGGGGTGATGCTTTCAAGAGCAGCATCAGCAGAATTATGACAAGAGCCATCCATAACTGGATGCTGTTCTATGCTCATGCTTGGGGTTTGTGACCAGAATAGACAGTTGTTGTTTTTTCTACTGGAACTTTGCCAGTTGATGTTACATTGACTCCTGGAAGAGCCCTGTAGAATAAAGTCACTCTACAACAGCTGGTTCAACAGCTTCAGAAGTCCTTTCACTGCAAGTGTGAAACAGCAAATAATAATTTTATTCCTAGTAGCTCGAGGCTCTAGCAGAGAAGTACCATTGATCCATTTGTTTATATTTCACTTGGAGGGCCTATAAATTCATAGGGACCAAATGTTAAAGGGAGATGTTCTGCATTCTGCTGCCTTTTCTCAAGCAGAACTGGAGAAAGCTGGTTCATGAGAAACCTGCAGAGAGCAGGGGAAGGGGAGTATTTCACAGAGGATTTGCTCTAGAGGTCAAATGGAACAGGTTTGGGAAGATTCACGCTCATTAACCTTCATGGTCTGGAGAGCTCTGGGTGAAGGCAGCTGGGGACATACCCATTCCTGGTACTGACTGATCTCTCTTTTACTCTTCCAGACTCGGAATATCCTTGGACTACGACGCCCGTTACGCTCTCTCTTCCGTTCTCGGACGCACTTGCCTCTGCTAGTGGCCATGTATCTGCTTGCTATCCATGTCCTTCTCTTCCTGTGCTTTACAGGCCACCTATGAACAGGAATAACAGCCTTTTCTGGAGCCACAACCCTCCTTGTAATGAGGGCTTGCATTCTATATTGACGTGGTAGCACTTCACTCAATTGCCTTCCTTTTCCAAGTCAGCCCGTAAGGAGCAGCTGCACCCAGCACCTTGCGCCTAGGTTGGTTGCTGTCCAAGTATGCAGCAGCCAGGGCTGATGCTTGGGATCTGTTTCCAGGACATATGCCGTTCCTTCAGTGTTTTAAATGAGTGGTGTTTTCTAAGCCAGGGTCCTCATGCTACAGGCTTCAAGGACAGCATTTCTTCCTGTACCTGGAGCTAGCACCACTCATTTTAGATAGTACTGTGCTGTGGTAGGAATAAGAAAAATAGTCTTGAATTGCTGCAGTACTACAGCACTTGTAGGAACTGCAGAACCTTCCCGCTCTTAGACTGGTCAGTGAGTTGGACTGGGGAAACCCTGCAGGTAGGTACAAGAAAGAGCAGCTTCTTCCTTTCTTCCATCCCTTAGATTTGCTCTGTGGCTCAGTGCTGCTTAAAATTCATATCCTAAGGAAGTTGTGGACACTTTAAGGAACATGAATTGAATTGCAAAATTGCGATTCCTGCTTAGTTGCGTCTCCTGTTGAAAAAAGCCCAGAATTAGTATATCCAGACCTGCTGAGCATTCCATTTAGAAGCAGTCATATGTCTGCCCTGACAAGCTTGTAAAATAACTTAAGTAACTTAGCTATTGAAAAGGAAAAGGAAAAAACTTTTTAGCTCTAAGTTAATGACTTTGCCAGTTACAGCATTTTTGCACCTCTCATGAGGGAAGGTGCTTGCATACCTCTTGAAATCAGAGCAGCATTCTAATCCACTGAAGCCTTGCCACGAGATTAAAGCTGTGCAGGCTGTGTTTAATGGTTCCAGAAGGTGGAGTGTGGGCCCAAATCAAAAGCAGAAGCTCCAGAAATAAGCTGTTTTCCCTATGATGAGGAGAGGACTGCAATTTCAATACCTTCTGACATCTCTGCATTAGGAAAAGCCTATTGTAGAAAGCTAGTGCTGGTCATTGGATCTAAAGCAAGCTGATGTAAATGGACTTGATCTTATAGGATACATGGAAATCTGTCTTTTCTAAAGAAATTTTGAATATGTCCTGAAATTCAGACCACCCTGTTCCAAGGGGAGAATGCTGAACGCAAAGAAGATAGCTCCAGTCAAGTTCTCTGTCAAGAGACCAAGTGGTCATTCTGTTCAGAGTACTTGCTAGAAGGATTCTATTTGCCTCTTACTATAGTATTAACAGTCATGGTTTTTTTTTTCCCATGGGAAAGAGGTAATGCTTCTGATATTGCTGGTAAAGTAAGATTTTTCTAGCCAGTAAACAAAGCCTGTTTGAGGCTGACATGATTTCATCATGGTAAAATAACTGGATTTCTGGCAGGTCCAGAACATTGGCATTACATATCCATTTGTGCACTACCCCTGATTATCTGTGTGGACTTCCTCAACTATATAAAACTGAGAGACCAGATACTTTGCCTATAGCTTCCTGGGACATGTATATATAATAAAGATTATTTTTCTGGTGAAATTTGTATATTACTGTCACGTAAGGTCTGATGAAGGATATAGAGCTGCTGTATCATACCTTTTACAAAACCATCACAGGACTGTAGGTCACTTTTGTGTACACTTCTGTGTACGGTGATAACAGAAGCTCTGTTTCTTCATATTATTTGAATGGCACTGGGGATTACCTTTTTCCTCTGTCCTCAGCCTTTTGCAGCTTTTACTGCCATGACAAAAGAAGGAAATAGCACTTTAATAATGAAAGCAATTTCACTAAAACAAGACCTGCTTGGATTTACTTGTCTTTGCATTTGGGCACATTTCATAGAATCATAGTACAGTTAGGATTGGAAAGACCTTAAGATCACCCAGTTCCAACCCCCCTGCCATGGACAGGGACACCTCGCTCTAAACCATCTCAACCAAGGCTCTGTCCAACCAGGCCTTGAACACCACCAGGGATGGAGCATTCACAACCTCCTTGGGCACCCTGTGCCAGTGCCTCACCACCAACACAGTAAAAAGCTTCTTCCTTATATCCAACTTCCTTATATCTAAACTTCCCCTGTTACAGCTGGAACCCATTACACCTTGTCCTCCCACTACAGTCCCTAATGAAGAGTCCCTCCCAAGCATCCTTACTGGTCCCCTTCAGATATCGGAAGATTGCCATGAGGTCTGCACGCAGCCTTCTCTAGGCTGAACAGCCCCAACTTTCTCAGCCTGTCTTCATACAGGAGGTGCTCCAGTCCCCTGATCATCCTCGTGGCATCCTCTGGGCTGGTTCCAACAGATCCATGTCCTTTTTATGTTGAGGACACCAGAACTGCACACAATGCTCCAGGTTAGGTCTCACAAGAGCAGAGGGGTAGGATCACCTCCTTCGACCTCCTACTCATGCTCCTTTTGATGCAGCCCAGGATATGGTTGCCTTTCTGGGCTGCAAGCGCACACTGAAGCCGGCTCATGTTCATTTTCTCATTGACCAGCACCCCCAAGTCCTTCTCCTTGGGCTGCTCTGAATCTCTTCTCTGCCCAGCCTGTAGCTGTGCCTGGGATTGCTCCGACCCAGGTGTAGGACCTTGCACTTGTCATGGTTAAACTTCACCCTGCAGCGGAAGAGAGGATGAGGGTGTTGTTGGTGGCCACTGGCAGCACTACGGCTGGCTCCTTCTCTCAAGAGCTGCCAGAGCTGCATTCACTGCACAGAGGCTCTGCTCAGGTGCCAGAGCCTACGGAGCCTTGTCTGGAGGGGACTGCGGGGCTGTGAGGTTGGGCTCTCCCTCATCTCTGCGCAGGTATCCTGGGTGTGTGGAAGACGGATGTTCCAGGATTGGGAACTGGAGCTCTGGGCTGCCAGGAGCACTGGATGGGCTTCCTGAGCAGAGTAACCTGGGATGAGAGGGGCACTGGGCAAGCAGCTGCAGATGGGAGAGGGGAGGGAAGCCCCAGCAGCGCTGGGGACGCTGGGGTGGGAGGTGACTTGCCAGGCAAAGCATGTGCCGGGCTCTGGGCTGCCTGTGCTGCTGGGGGGTTGACCTGTTGCACGCCCCTACCTGGCACGAGTCACTGCCACCCTGCAGGTACCCGGAGCATAAGTTGTGGCTAAAGATGTCCCCTGGATAGCACCGGCTGCTGTTACAGGTGTTGATATCAGTGAGATAGACCCTGGCCTCCTGCACGCTAGCAGCTACTTTTCCAACTGTGAGCACAGAAAGAAACAGCAGCTCGTGACCAGTTTTCCTGCCCTGTCTGGGTGAGCCCTTTCCCTAGCACATGGCTTTGCCCATTGAGAGGCATTGGACCCATGTGTCCCTTCTGTCTTGCTCTGCACAGTGGGTCAGGCCCATCTCTTGGGGCACATGTCCCTGACGTTTGCCTCTCGCCTCTGCTGCCGGGGAGCCTGGCCCATGCCCCCCATGTGCTAAGCTTGCCATGGGGACACGATTGCTTTTTGGGAACTCACATCTTGCATCCATCAAACCCCAGCTGCTGATGTAGCAGTCTGTCAGCTGGGACACTGCCAGTGAGGCGCTGGACACACAGGCAAGCTGAACATAGTCGCTGCACTGGACAGGCTGGTCCAGTTCCAGCAAGGCGATGTCGTTCCCCTCTGAGATGTTGGTGTAGAGTTCATGAGCAATCACCTGCTTAACTGTGTGTACTTGGACCTCAGGGCCCAGCTCAGACAGTTTGGGTGGCCCCGATCACCACTCAGTGATGCAGAGGGTAGACCAATGTACAGGGGAGTTGCACAAGGGGGTCATACAAGGGGGTTGTGCAAGAGGGGATAAAGGAATTTTGCCTGTTTAACAGAAAGCATTGTTTGCAAATACCTGTCAAGCTTGCCATGCAGTACCAGGACAATAGGCTATTGATAAAGGGGAGAAACAGACTGATAAGAGGAAGGAACAGTTACTTAAATACAAAGCTTGTCAGTGTTTATCAGGCATTTGGACAATGTCTTTAATATGGAAAATGCTTTAACTTTTGGTCAGCCATGAAGTAGTCAGGCACTAGGTGACCACTGTAGGTCCCTTCCAACTGAACTATTCTACTCTGTTCTATTCTAAGCCCTGTATATTTTGCCTTCTCTTTCACGGACACCCCCTTGTCGTGGGGAAAGAGCTTGCGTGCCCTTGTGAAGTTGGGAGTTATGCTGGTGGTGGCTTATGCTTCCGGTAGGGTCTCCCATGCCAGTCAGCTCTCAAATGAAGGGTCAGACAAAGTGTGTCCATGGGCAGGATGGGCTCACTAGCCTTCAGGCAACCATCCTAGGAGAAGGACAACTCCAACTTCAAACCCGGGCAGATGGAGCTCGTGTAGCCCTGTAAGGCCATCCATCTAAGAGAAGGATACTCTAATTAAACCTACGACCTGAGGACTTTGCTGTCACCGTCCAAGCTCGCTAGGCCCTGGCAGATAAACCTCAGGTGTAAAGGGTGAGGCCAGTTCTGCGCACGCTGTGCCTCACCTAAAATAAATCCACTGCGCAGGCCCGAAGGGTTTACCCACACTTGCAAAGCCCTGCAGCGACAGGCGAGGGACGAAACGGCAGGTGATAAGGTGCACTGGAAGTGCATGCAGGCGGTTCAGGACATTGGTCACTCAAGTCTGACCCAGGAGATGACAGTCTTGTTCGGCAGCATCCTGAATGACCAAGCAGCCTTTTTCAAGGACAGCACTGCTTGCTCCATATGGAGAGAGGCCTAGAAAAGGTGGCCTAACCAAAGTTCATCTCCCCCTCCACCTGGTTGGCTAGCCGCGGCCAACGGGCATCTTCTATTGCGGTCAATTAAAGACAAAGAGACAAAGGCATACACCTGCCTCCAAAGGTGTGTCCAGATTGACACTCGCATGTTGGAACATCAGAACCATGCTTGATACAGTGAACAGTGGGCGTCCTGAGCGCCGTTCTGCGCTAATTGCCCATGAATTGTCACGACTTGACATCGATATCGCTGCACTCAGTGAAGTTCGCCTTCATGAGGAAGGTAGCCTCAAAGAACATGGTGCTGGCTATACACTCTACTGGTCAGGCAAACCCAAAACTGAAAGTCATCTTTCTGGAGTCGGCTTCATGATTAAGAACTCCATAGCCTCCAAACTTGAAAATTTGCCGATAGGTCATTCCGACCGTATTATCTCCTTACGTCTTCCACTGCACAATAAGCAACACGTTGTTCTCTTCAGCATATATGCTCCAACTCTGCAAGCTGACCCTGCAGAAAAAGAAAAATTCTACTCCGACCTGCGTCACCTCACTCAGAAAGTTCCTATAGAAGACAAGATCATAATCCTTGGTGACTTCAACGCCCGAGTAGGAAAGAACTTTGAAGCCTGGAAAGGAGTACTAGGCAAGCACGGTGTTGGCAACTGCAATGATAACGGTCGTCTCTTACTAGAGTTCTGTGCAGAGCAACAGCTTACCATCACCAACACTATCTTCCAGCAGAAAGACAGCTGGAAGACAACCTGGATGCATCCACGATCTAAACATTGGCACCTTATTGATTATGTTTTAGTGCGCCAGAGAAATATTCGTGATGTCTGCCAGACCAGAGTGATGCCTAGTGCAGAATGCCAGACCACCGCCTTGTGCGCTGCAAACTTAATTTCCACTTCAAGCCCAAACCTAAGAGGGGCGGCATTCCAAGGAAGAGGCTCAATGTTGATAATCTTCAAATAGCTGCAGTGAGGGACAGCTTTCAGGCTAACCTTCAAACTAGGCTTGAAGACCAACTTACAGATTCTTCTCCTGAAGCGCTTTGGCAACATATCAAAAACAGCATCCTGCAGTCCTCTGTAGAATCCATTGGGTTCTCCTCAAAGAAAAACAAAGACTGGTTTGACGATAGCAACCAGGAGGTCCAGGAATTGCTGACAAAAAAGAGATCTGCTCATCAAGCACACCTCGCTCAGCCACTCTGCCATGTAAGAAAAGCAGCCTTTCGTCTTGCATGTAGCAAACTCCAACAGAACCTTAGAGACATCCAGAACAAGTGGTGGGTCAACCTAGCAGAAAAGACTCAACTATGTGCAGATTTGGGTGACCACAGAGGATTCTATGAGGCTCTGAAGGCAGTGTATGGACCCACATTCCAGGTTCAAAGCCCCTTACTTGGTGCAGATGGCCAAACGCTTCTTACAGATAAAATCTCCATCCTGAATCGCTGGTCTGAACGTTTTCAAACCCTCTTTAGTGCTAATCGTGTAGTTCAAGGCAAAGGAATCCAGCACATTCTGCAACATCCGGTGAAAAACGAATTGGATTTAGCCCCTACCATGGGAGAGACTCTTAAGGCCATACAGCAGGTGAAAACTGGCAAGGCAGCTGGGGTTGACGGAGTCCCACCTGAAATATGGAAGCATGGAGGCCAAGCACTCCACGCTAAATTTCATGAGCTAGTTGTGTGCTGTTGGGAACAAGGCAAAATACCGTCAGACTTTCGTGACACAATCATCGTCACTCTGTATAAGAAAAAAGGTGTCAAGTCAGACTGCTCAAACTACCGTGGTATAACTCTGCTCTCCATTGCTGGTAAAATTCTTGCAAGAATACTATTGAACAGACTAGTACCTGCCATCGCAGAAGAACTTCTACCTGAAAGCCAGTGTGGTTTCAGGGCTAATAGAAGTACCACAGACATGGTATTTGTTCTCAGACAATTGCAAGAAAAGTGTAGAGAACAGAATAAGGGGTTATACGTAACTTTCGTTGACCTCACCAAAGCTTTTGACACTGTGAGCAGGAAAGGCTTGTGGCTGATCTTAGAACGATTAGGTTGTCCCCCCCAAGTTCCTGAAAATGATTATTCTGTTACATGAGGATCAGCAAGGCCAAGTCAGGTATGGTGATGCACTCTCTGAGCCTTTCCCAATAACCAATGGTGTGAAACAAGGTTGCGTTCTCGCACCGACCTTATTCACAATCTTCTTCAGCATGATGCTCCAAAGGGCTACAGCAGACCTCGACGAACAAGACGGCATTTATATTCGATATCGTACCAATGGTAGCCTATTCAATCTAAGGCGACTGAAGGCCCACACTAAGACCCTAAACCATCTTGTCCGTGAACTGCTCTTTGCTGATGATGCCGCCCTTGTTGCCCACACAGAAGCAGCTCTGCAGCGTTTAACATCTTGCTTTGCGGAGGTGGCTGAGGTTTTTGGGCTGGAAGTCAGCTTGAAGAAGACAGTAGTTCTCTACCAACCTGCACCCCAAGAAGATTATCGCCATCCCCATATTACCATCGGCGAGTCAGAGCTTAAGACAGTTCAGCAGTTCAGCTATCTGGGAAGCATCATTTCCTCGGATGCCACGATCGACAGAGAGATAGACAACAGAATAGCAAAGGCATATAGAGCCTTTGGAAAACTCCATAAAAGAGTCTGGTGTAATAAACACCTGAAGAAAAGTACAAAGATCAGTGTCTACAGAGCCATTGTATTGTCTACTCTTTTATATGGGTCTGAATCATGGGTCATCTACCGTCATCACCTGCAACTCCTGGAACGCTTTCATCAGCGCTGCCTCCGTACAATTCTAAACATCCATTGGACTGACTATGTGTCTAATGTCACTGTCCTCGAACAGGCAGGGGTCACCAGCATCGAGGCCACATTGCTGAAACTGCAGCTGCGCTGGGCAGGGCACGTCTCTAGAATGAAGGATCACCGCCTCCCCAAGATCGTGTTTTACGGTGAACTTGCCACCGGTAGCCGCAAGAGAGGTGCCCCAAACAAGAGATACAAGGACTCCCTGAAACAATACCTTAGCCTTGGCCATATTGACTACCATCAGTGGTCCACCTTGGCCTCCAGTCGGGAGACTTGGAGGCACACCATACATAATGCCGCTGACTCCTTGGAGAGTTCACGAAGAACTAGTCTCGAGGAGAAAAGGCAACGCAGGAAGAATCACGCCCCACCTGTTCCACCCAAGGAGACCTTCTGCTGTGCTTTTTGTAGCCGGATTTGCCTATCCCACATTGGCCTTCTTAGTCATCAGCGCGCTTGTAGTAAGCGTGGGTAAATGCCCTTCCCAAATCTTCGTTCGCGAAGTCAAGCCATGATATTTTGCCATTGTGTCAAACAGAAATGACTCCTCCAGGAGCTCTTCTTGCTTCGCTCATTCGGAAAGGAAGTTATTTTGTTTTGAGATGTTTATCTAGTGTCAAACTAGTGTGATTCATGCTACTCATTCCAAATGTGCACTTCCCATCAGTAAGCACTGTACCAAGGAGTTTGATCTGTAAGTGCATAGGATTCTTTAACTACATGCTTTCCCTCTTCCTAGTTTAATCTTCATTTTTTGTTGTGGTTTTTTTTTTTTCTTGTCCTGGGAGATCTTTCATGTATGTGTATATGTCTGTCTGTCAGTCTGTCTGTATATATATTTTTAATTGTGCTTTAAAGCACTGAGTCAAATTCCATAACAAGCTCTGTAAGCAGTAGCTTGCTTTCTTTGGATCTCCTTGTAACTGTGAAGCCCAGGGGCTTCAGCCTTTTTAACTGTCTTGTACTCTTACGGCAGAATGGTTTTCTGGAAGAGATGAAGATGGAAATCACAATCTGGTTTTGCACACTAAGAAATATAATTGTGCCCCATCCAGCACTGCGCATGGAGTCAGCAGTTTGGATCCTTGGTACATGCCTTGTCAGCCCCGCAGAGCACAGGCAGCATGCAAGGGAAACACAGCCACCAGGGCAGGTTTTGGTGCTCATAACAGAGCAGAACTGGGGGCTGGGACACAGGAAGCGAAGATAGCTGAAGCTAAACCAGGAACTGGGAGTCAGCCACAGTGCTGGTGTGCAAAAGCTGCTGCTACCAACAGGTGTCTGAGCAGAAAGCAGCAAGTTTGCCAGCAGGAGCTGGTGCACCTTTAAGGTAAGAAAGCTGAGTGGGGGTTGAGAACGGAAAGTGAGAAACAACAAAAAACGTAGGGGTTTGGTGGGCGAAGAGCACTCCTTCCTTCCTGACGCAGCTTGTGTGAGCTGACAGTGCTCAGCTTTTGCTTCTCAGTCTGCTCTTGGGTCATCCTTGTTCCTCTTGTGCTTGAGGTTCTGAAGAAACATGCTTCTAAATCAACCAGCATGACTGTTGGGTGTGGCAGCCCTGTATTTGTGCTGTAGTGGATACTTTCAGGGGGAAAAACGGAACAAACTAAAAGTTTGAGCTGCTACTCTGATATTCATCATTATAGAGCGTCTGGAGCCTTGTGGTGTGATGAGAGTCTGAGGTTTGTCATGGTTCCCAAGCTGCACGGTGGCTGGCTGTGGACAAGAGGTGGTCAAGACCCGTTTGCAGTTGTCTTTAAAATCCTGAAGCACCCACAGCTGAGCTAGCTGCTCAAAGAACTGCCCTGTTGACCAGCCCTGTGCCAGCTGGATACTGCTCTTGGGTTATCCTTAACAAAAAATGAGACACAAGCTTTCAAAATGTTTGGAGTGAGAGATGCCAATAAATTACTGAGGGGCAAAAGGAGATCAAAGGTACTGTTTTATCATGCTATATATTGTTCACCTGCTTCTATTTGCAACTGACTATATTCAGGTTGTCGTAAGATTAGTGTCAGTGCATACAAGCACAGTGGAGTTACGCTGCAGACCTGCTGTGTTCTGCTGTGCTCTTTTAGTTTCTGTTGTCTTTGCTCTCTGGTCTCACACTGCGGATTCTCTAGACAGTTGGTAAGGGTAGCTTGCAACTGAACTGAGCAGTGCCTGTGCTGAACTGGAAGGTGATTCACTTGACAGCTTTTCGTGTTGTACAATCAATGACTTGTTCAGCATAAGCATTTTCTTGCACGAAAAGCAACTGTCCTGGGCACTTGGGGCTAGTTTGTGCTGTATGGTTGTGGCACTCAGGAGTTAGCGGTGTCAAGAAGCACTTAATAAAAGTGTGCTGTTAAATGAGGATCCATGACAAAGCTTTTCTCTTCCCTCCTGTTTGTTTACAGGTTTATGTGATGTTTGCAATGATGTGAAATAGGGCTCAGCAGCCTCATCTTAGCTGCACATTCTCATTCTGATCCATCTTTGTCCCAGTGAAAAGCTGCTTTGAGCTTCAGTAAGAACAACATTGCTCCTCAGCACCACAGGCAGTAATAGGTGGTGGGATGTGAGAGCTCTGCTGAGAATGATGGCTCTGTTGTGCAGGGAGAAGCAAACTATCTCATTATTTGTTTCTAATTTTGTAGGAACTGTGTTGTTTGGAAGGCACCTTTTCATCGTGTTTTTTCACTGACACCTTGAAAATGAAATGCGGGAGTTTTAGATTTCACATTACTTTTATTTAACTTCCTCTTTGTGGGCCTATCACTTCCTCCAGGCTTCTCTGGACACCCTGTACAAGCCACAGCACAGCAGCATCAGCCTTTTCTGCCCTGCACACTTTAGGATTTTAGCCCGTTTTTACCCTACAACAGACATAAACACCACACAGCGCACTGTACCAGCACTGTAAGAGCACAGGCAGCTTTTCTCTTAACCTTCTCTAGCACACTAGGAAGTGATGAAAAGGTTGGAAAACAGACAGAAACTTGAGGAGTCCAACCTCAGGTAAATAAGCATTGCATCACAGTGGCAGAAGGGAGGTTAAAGCAGGGGACCGTACTTTACTGGTACTGATTTGCATTAGAATACGTGCGCATTTGAACTGTGGAGTCAGTGTGCCTGACGACTGTGGTTTTCACTCAGTGTTTTATGACTGTGGTTTTCACTTAGTGTTTTACAGAAGAGGTGCTGGGGCTCAAAAGTTAACTATTTTGGGTGCCTTGCCTGTGTGAGGGACTGAGGCTAGCAAGGCAGATGCAAGGGGTCCTTTCCAGCCAAGTTCTGTCATGACTCCTGTGGTCTGACATTCCCATGGCTGTGAGCCAGCAGTGTCCACAGGCTTGGCTCTGGGTAATGCCATGTCCTCCTTATGCAGATGTGGAAAGCAGCCGTGGGACATGACGTGTCAGTGAAGGTTGAGGCTCAGGGAGACGACTGGGACACTGACCCTGACTTCGTGGTGAGTTTGGTGTGGTAATCCACAGTGCTGGTGACGGTGTGAAGGGTCCAGTGGCCCTTGGCACATGCTGCTCAGCTGGGCCGGGTGCTTGGGGCTTGGCTATGGTGAGAGCACCACTGCCTGAGCAGATCAGTCAAGTCCCAACAGCTTCTTGCTGTTACTGTCAGGTAAGGTAATCCATTTCTTTCCTATACCCATGTTTAGTCTCCAGAGCTTCCTACATCAGCATATCACAAGTATAAAACACTTAGTTTCTTTTGAACCTGCTCCCTGGTAACTTCACCAGGTTGTCCTCACAACTTATGTTACAAAAATAGTGAAGACTTACATTTTCTCTTTCCCAAGATATTTGTAATTGTACAGGGTTCCAGCATTGCCCTCATTTGTCTTTTGTCCAAATGAAAGAATCCTACTCTATTTATGTCACCTTGGGCAGGTGGAGCTCCATTCCTCTAAATAACCTTGTTTTCTTCCAGTCTAATTCTCTAGGAGAGATGGTAAAAGAATAGAAGGGATCAGCCTGTGGGAACCTCACGCATTTGGTGTCATGACTGTCTTTTTCTATTCGATTCTCTGTTTCTTTCCTATTAAGTTACTTACACTTTGGCTTTTTGGCCAAAGCACATTTGCTACTCTTGCACATAATTGTACATAATCCCATATTTAGTACTCCCTCCTTAATGGTAAATATTTTGGAACCATCATTGAGCACATAAAATTAAGATTATTTTTTTTTTCCATATGCTTTACTTTTGTACTTGCTACATTAACATTCATTTCCAATTTATCACCCATTGATTTGGCTTTACATGATTTTTCTGCACCGCTTTGCCTTCTGGGTTTGGGTAACCTGAACGGTCCTTTGCTGCCTCAAGACACTGACATCTCATTCTTCATACCCATTTTCTAAAACTCGTAGGAGCACAGAGCACAGCAAGTCCTTCTCGGTGCTGAGGAGCGCCAGCCATGCTTTAGAGCCACAGGTCTCTTCTGAGTGCTGCTGAGATTTTGGTTTCCTTTCCAAGACAGTTTATTGATGGAGTCTCTTCTGTTACACAAGAGCTTGATGTTTTCAATGTTCAGCTTTGCCTGGTTATTTCCAGTAAGAAATTCTAGTTTGGGACAAAAGCAAGTCCCCTTCTCTAAGTTCCAAATCATTAATGATTACACACACACACACACACACACACACACACACACACCCCAGTGCTCCCAGTATTTTGGGGGTTTATTTCACTTTTTCTACTTGTGGAGGCATTAAAATAAGCCTGCACAGAGGAAGACTTTGTCTTAATTTCAGATTTTATTTTGTATATGCATATGTTTAGCTTTACCTTTACTGATGCTTCATCAAATGAACCTCCAAACGTGGACAAAACAAGCGCCCTCAGAACAAAGCTGAGGCAGAACTCAAGCGGACCTGAGTGAAACGTTCGCGTGTTTCCCCCATATTTTCCTACACAATTCAATTCCACAGCCGTTTCGTTTTCCAGCTCCTCCCCGAGCTGGATGGGAGGGATGGAGCCTCCCGCAGCCCAGCCGCCAGCCCTGCACGGCTCTCCTGGCCGTGCCCGGAGCCAGGCGCGGCCCTGCTGGCCTGAGCCCCGTGCTGCGGGCCCGCTAACGGCTGCGGTTCGCTCCGCAGAACGACATCTCCGAGAAGGAGCAGCGCTGGGGAGCGAAAACCGTCGAGGGCTCCGGCCGCGCCGAGCACATCGAGTGAGTGCGGGCGGGTGCGGAGCGCTACTGCGGGGAGCGGCCACGCCGGCCCAAACCCGACGAATGAGGGCCGGTGCTCGGCGGGGCGGGCGGGAGAGCGGCGCCGGGGCCCCGCCTCTGGAAGCCTCGTGCGGGGAGCAGCCCGGCGGTGGCCCGGGCCCGGGGAGAACGGGATCGGGGCTGCCGCCTGCGCGGGTGCTGCCAGGGGCTGGGGCTGCACCACGGGTAGAGCTCAGAGACCGCCCGTGTGCTGAGAGGGGAACGGTTCCGTATGTCCAGACAGCGGCTGTCCCCACGGCAAAGGCTTCCTGCACCTTCCGTGGCCAAACCAGAACCTATCCAGCAGCTCCCTGCACATCCCAGTAGTGCCCTGCACAGTGTGGCCAGTGCAGCACACAGGCACAGGGAAGTGTGGTCTCCTGTTGAAGGTGGGGTGTAGCCTTGAGTGGGATCTGCAGGCTGGGGGCTGGATGCACTCACTGAGCCTGCAGCTCTGGGTCTTAACACCAGCCCTAGGGTAGCAGCATGCCCTGCCTGTGTGCAGTGACTGCATATGTGTGGCTACCACACAGAGGGGCCTGGTGTGGGGGCATGTGGTGGAAGCTAGCAGCAGGTTTACATCCTGCCCTGTGCTGGGCTCTGTCTGGTACAGTGGCACTGGGATGCTCCACCTGGTTGCATGGGTCTGCGCAATCCCACAGTGATTTACCCTCTCCATTCTATGATTCTATCTCACCAGCATCCACCAGCTGAGGAACAAGGTGTCAGAGGAACATGAAGTCACCAAGAAGAAGGAGCTGGAGACTGGCCCCAAGGCCTCCTATGGTTATGGAGGCAAATTTGGAACAGAGAGGGACCGAATGGATAAGGTAACAGAGGGTGTCCTTTATCGCCAGTGGACGTCTTCTTCTCATAAAGATAAAAGCATCACTGTTTTCTGAAGGGAGAGAATGGCATGGCTGAGCACATTTGCACATCTAGCTGGCCCATAATCTGTCTTCAGGATCTGTTTGAACCCATTTGTATAATGCGTCTCTAGAACTTCCTTGCAACACTCCCCTTAGCTGTGAAGAAGGACTTTCTGTGGCTTGTTTCAAACCTGCTGCATAACAATGAAATTAGGTACTTCCATACTTGGAGAACTAATGAGTAATAATTCTCTCCTCATGTTCTCCGCTGCAGACCTCTGTCACATCTCCCCACAGTGAAGCTCTAGTTTGTATTCTCTCTTCTCACCTAACATCTGTTTTATGTTTCTGATAATCATAATCTTCTTCGTATACCTTTCAGCATTTAATACGTATTTGTTTTCAGAAGTGAAGTGTTAAGATTGCAGTAGCGTTCAATACATGGGGTTGCTGTGGTTTTGCATGATGCCAGGATGGCAGGGTGAGAAACAGACATTTCCAGGAGGCAGAAATGGATCAGCCACGCTCAGACCCTTCTGCTGGAGCAGTGAGGCTGTTTTTGTTGAGCAGTTCCTCAGCCTTCATCCACTCTCACCAGGATGTTGCAATCATTCAGACTCTGGCCCTTCTTCCAAGGAGTGTGAGTGATTCCTGGCCATGCCACCTCTGGCAGGTAGCAGCGGGACCCTGGCGTGTCCTGTGTTAGTCATAAAGGGTTATCCCAGCCATGTGTGCTGACCCTCATTCTCAGACAGGGAGCAGGCCCAGCCTGCTGGGTGTTCAGCCGTGCCTTCCTCAGTTTCCCCATGTGATTGTCCATGACTCTACTCCACTGGCATTTGGGAGCAGCAGGTATTCAGAATCCCACGGTGTGCATGATGAGCTGGCAGTGGGGCCAGCTGTATGTGATGGTTACTTTTGAAGCTGCATCACAGGTCTGAGTGCACAGCTGGTACAGTCAAAGGCTGGGCAGAAGGGACTGCCACCACCAGCACCAAACCATTGGTTTGGACCTGTCACGTTGTGGCTGCAAGCACCTCAGCAGTGGGGCAGAGCAACTGTGGTGCCTGTATCTCTGTCTGCCCTGCCAGTCTGCCCATGGGTGCTCATGTCATGCTCTTTTCTCAGTGTGCAGTGGGCCACGAGTACATTGCCAATGTTGGGAAGCACTCCTCGCAGACAGATGCAGCCCAAGGCTTTGGGGGGAAGTATGGCATCCAGCGGGACCGGGCTGACAAGGTGTGTTGGACACGACAGCGATCTGTGCTCAGTGCTGCGCCTAAAACCCAGTCCTACCTTTAGGATTGTGGCTGCAGCTTTCAGACGGCTGGGGAGTGCAGGTCCAGCAAGAAGCTCACCTCCTGTGTGCAGGACAGTGATTTAGGACAAACTGCAGGGCAGCTCTGGTGATTAACTTTCCGGTGTGCATTAACATGTTTGCACTGTCCTATCCAGGCATCACTGCATTTGTCTTGGGGACTGTGGCGTTTTGCATCTCCAAAGCCCCAAGCTGTGCCATGCACTGTGATGGCAGTAGCAGGACTGGATGGGGACAGCAGGGTGGTACCCCTGCTGTGCACATCCTGGCATCAGATGCTGCCCAGGCACCTTGCCAGTGGGGTCAGGATTGTGGCCCTCTTCCCTGGAGTGCATGGGCTCTTGCAAGGGCCTGTTCCTGGGCACACTGCTACAGGGACAGCAGGGGTGGTCTGAGAGGCTGAAGAGACCTATTCCAGCCAAGGAGCAGCCACCACAAGACAGGGAGCAGGGTCCCAAGGTCCCAGCCTGGCCCCTGGGGGAGGGTGATGGGACCCAGCTTGGCCCACAGGACCACTGACATTCCTTCCCTTCTTGTTCCAGTCAGCACTGGGGTTTGAATACAAAGGAGAGGTGGAGAAACACTCCTCCCAGAAAGGCAAGTCCATGGGCACACGTGGCTCCTTGACACATTTCCAAGCTTCTCTTTTGCTCCCAATATCCCATGCTGTCTGCTGTGGCACAGTCTCCTTTGTTACCCCTGTCCTGTCTCTTGTTTAAGATCCCTGTTCCCAGTCAGACAGCCTTACAGCACCATTCCCTGCTATCCTGTCACCACTCTTCTGTTGTATATTCCACTTGTCTCTAGTTTTGCTTTGACAGAAACCACATCATAAGTGAGCAGGGAAGACACCCCCACATGCACTCCTGATGGAGGGATGATGCTTTCTTTTGTCTAAAAGTCCTTCTGAGCAGCTGCTCCAGAAGGAACCCAAGCACTTTAGGACATGAGAAGTGGGTTCTGAAAAAGTGGCATATAAGAAAAGGCACAACAATAGATATGTGAACAAAAGTCTCCACAGCACCCAAACTTGTGCACAGTCCTGGAGATGCTTCAGCCAACTTTGATGTGTCCATACAAGCAGCTATATTTATGTCCTGGGTTCAGCAGTAACAGTTATTTTTCTCCTTCTTAGTAGTTGGTGCAGAGCTGTGGTTTTGGCTTTAGTCTGAGAACAGTGCTGAGAACGCACCAATGTTTCAGTTGTTGCTAAGTAATGTTTACTCCAATCAAGGAATTTTCCAGTCTCATGCTCTGTCAGTGAAGACGGCATGGGAAGCTGGGAGGAAGCAGAGACAGGACACCTGACCCAAACTAGCCAAAGGGGTATTCCAAACCACAGCATGTTGTGCCCAGTTTAGAAACTGGGGGGAGTCACCCACAAGGCTCAGATCGCTGCTGGGGCTGGGCCGGGTATTGGTGGGTGGGTACTGAGCAATTGCATTGGGATCACTTGTGGTTATTGTTTCCGTTTCCTTTTCCCCTTTTAGTTTTATATTCTCTCCCCTTGTTATTTCCCTTATCATTATTATTAGTGGTGGTAGCAGTAGAGATTTGTGTTATACCTTAGTTACTGGACTGCTCTTATCTCAACCCATGGGACTTACATTCTCTTGATTCTCCTCCCCATTCCTCTGGGAGCAGGGGTGGAAGAAGGGGGGCATGAGAGCGCAGCTGCGTGATTCTGAGTTACCGGCTGGGCTTAAACCATTACAATTCATTAAGAATTTTCATTGCAACAACTGAAGCTAAAGATGTTTTAAACATTTTGCAACCAAGAGAAGATCAGAGGCAAGGTCTGTTCCCTTTTCTGGTACACATGAGGAATACTGCATTACCGGGAAAAAGAACTGTTCATTTCAGAGAGAATTATAAAAGAAGGAAGATATTCTGAAGCATTCTTGGTTGATCGTAAGTTAACAAATTGCATGCAGTTGTCCTACATTAATGCATTGCCATATACTAGATTGTGGACACAGAAATTCATCAGGCTGTTTAAAACCACAGAAGCCACTCAGGACAAAACGAAAATGTTAGAAATAGGGGAAGGTGTAAGGATTGTTTTTCATAAAAACGTGCCCGTGCTGGAAAGCCCACCATCAGGTAACAGTCATAAAATCCATATTTGCTGAAAGCAGCATCCTTAAAAGTCCATTTTATAGTGGCCTAATGGGTAAATAATAGTTTAATTGAAGAAAGTTTAAGAAATTTCTGGGACTTACAGGCTCATCCTTAAGTGACTGAGCTGCCATGAAACAGCCATTCTTGAATGCAAAATGTTTTCATGCCTACTTCTGTGGATCACAGTCTTCATGAGTTGATAAGGCTGAATTTGCTGGAGAATCCTCAACTCCTATGAAATGCAGACCTGTAAGAATAGGGTCAGGGAACAGAAAAGTAACTGTGATTTACTTCTTCAGAAGTAGGATTCGGAAACAGAGCTGGCAGACCAGTCCTCTGAGAGGAAGGTGCCTTCATGCAGCCAAAAGCTAGGATAGAGGCTGAAATTTCTTAGGACAATAAAAAAAAGTAGTCCTCGGAGAGTAAGTAAACACAGCTGAAGTGGTTAATACATTACTAGTTTAGCAGATGGGAAAGGGGATGTGTAAGGAAGATGCGCTGTGCCTCTATCACATAATGGTCGAGTGTGTCAGAGACAGTGTGGGGGAAGAGCTGGAGCATGTCTGCAGAAACATGGGTTTCAGCCTTTCCTGCAGATTCTAGGCAGTGGTTTCCTTGCAGAAGCTGAGATTTCATTATAGCAAATGTAAGCTGTACAACAAAACTTTGCCATCTTTTGTGCTTTCAAGGGCTTATGCACAGACTTTTTCAGAGACTGGCAGACCACAGGCTGAAATCCTTGCTCTGGTGGTGCATTAGTGGGTGGATGCCCAGACTGTCAGTGCCCAAATCTTGTCTTGGCTTTGCATCCTTGAGTGGCTGAGCTCCTACAGCCTCCCTCGCTGCTCTTGCCATGTTGCTTTTCTTCCTTGTGTTTTCAGCCTGCTGTATCTTCTGCTGCCCACAGCCCTCAGGCTCCCTTGCTGCCATCACTCACACTAGCCCCGGGCACCCATTCTCATGGGCCCTCATCCTTAATGGCCCTCATGGTGCTCCCTGCCATCTACCCTGTCCTCTCCAAACTCCTTGCTTTGTCTAGCATTTTCCATCATCCCTGCTGTTCTTCCTCCCCCCCAGTGCTGCTCCCCATCTTTACCCCCTCCCTTCATTAGCCCAGTGCTCAGGGCAGCATTTCACTCCATGCACCACCTCAGATTACTCCAAGGGTTTTGGTGGCCGTTATGGTTTGGAGAGGGATAAGGTGGACAAAACGGCGGTGGGATTCGACTACAAGAGCCAGGCCGAAAAGCACGACTCTCAGAAAGGTGAGCTGGGGGAGCCCAGTGCATCAGGTATGTCAGTACCTGAGCTCGGGAATGTGCTGCTGGGGCTTTGCTTGGTGTTTGCAACCTGGTGCATGAATGGGCTCGGTCAGGTGAGGAAAGCCATTACCTGGGGCATGACTGCTGGGAAAAGTTCCAGCTAAATGAAGAGGAGCAGCAGGTTTCTATGGGCACAGGGATCTGTGCAGTATGTCACCAAAGGAGGGGTGCAGGGGAGAGCCAGGGGCTAATAGCAGGTGACGTGCCAGGGAAGTGGAAGGGCTGTTGCTGCAGCCACCAGCAGGGGAGTCTCACCTTGTTCCGTGTCTTTCTCTAAATCCTAGCAAGGGAAAACTGTTGCCCCTGTGAGAAAAGCCACTTTTCTCTTTCCCTCCCTTGTCTGTTCTCTTCCATGCCATGATCTGGATCCCTGTGGCTGAAGACTATTCTGTGGGCTTTGGGGGGAAATTTGGGGTCCAGAGAGATCGTCAGGACAAGAGTGCCCTTGGCTGGGACCATCAGGAGGAAGTGCAGCCTCATGCATCCCAAACAGGTAGGACTGCTGCCAGAGGTAGCGGCACAATTGCCTTGGAGCCCACAGAGACCTAGAGTTAGTGCTTCGTACTTGACAGTGATCTAGCTGATGGAAACTGACTGTGTCCAGTACGCTGTGAATCCTCAAAGCACAAGGGTGAACTCAGCCAGAGCAGGTGCATGATTGGATAAGTGCAAGTCCCTGAATGAGGCTTCCCAGACTATATTGTGCTTTCTCTGGGAGGTACATTCCTGATCATAAGCCCATTGAGCAGATGAGCACATGGGAACAAGGCAAAGCAGGTTCCAGGAAAGGCTTGACTCTGTGCTTAACTTCAGTGATCAGGTCAACATTGCACTCAAATGGCATGACTGGCTTCTCACCCCAGTGCCTTAGATCTGACAGTGTACAGCACTGAACATCTGTGCCCTTTGCTGAAGGAAATGAACAATTAGTCTTACAAGCATTTTGCATGTATTATGTTTAGTTCCATATATGGTAAGATGCTAACATGTATCATTGGTCACAGCATACTGAAGTGAGAAGCGCACTCAAAATGTAAAATATGATACAATACCTCATTATTTTTCCATACAGACTATGCCAAGGGATTTGGAGGTTGTTACGGGGTCCAGAAGGACAGAGTTGATCAGGTAAGACTTTATACTTGCAGCCTGCAATTGCTTCCTGCTAGTCAATGCTCATTGCACTGCTGCAAGAGCAGAGGCTTCCCAGACGCAGTGAGGTGTCACTGCTCAGAGCACAGCTGCTGCAGGGCTGAGTGACCTGGCCTGGTATGAATACCACAGTGCAGAGGAGGATGGATACCATGTGAGCCCAGGGAGACTATAATGCAAGGAAGGATTTTTTTTCCACTGCCAGCTGCTCTTGAAGCATTAAACTCTCAGGCTGAAGAGTCATAAACCTGCTTTGGGGCAGGAGTTAATAGCAGAGCCACAAAGAGCTTCCTAAGCTGTTCGCCCTTGGATTTCTAGTACTGTATGGGATACTGGGAGTGTTCTCTCTGGCTGCTTTGCTGTCACTCCTGCAGGCCCTGTGAGTACCAGTTCAGTCAGGATGAGCTGAGGTGGCTCCTTGGAGAAGAAATTTTGTGAGTGCAGCCTTTTGAGAAGTCTGAGAGGCCACAGGGTATTGCAGTGGGCAGGAGCTGTCACTTACACAGGAGGGGTGCTGGATCAGACTGAAGGCTGATCTGGTGTCCCTGGCACTGACTGGCAGGTGATGCTCATGCAGGGAGCAGTATGCATACAGAGAGGTTCTTGCCTTGGAGTACCACCAGTGCAGTGGTACCGCTGAGGCTGCCATTCCTCTTGCTCTCTTACATAAGGTGTAAGGTTTGTTAGCAGCTGTCACACGCAGACATAAACGAGGCTTCCCAGAAGATGGCTTGAATCTTTGGTCCCTCAACAGGCAGGCCTTCCCAGTCTCTTCTGAACCTTACACAGATCCATGGCCTCTCCAGTGTCTGGCTCTTCATCCTCTTGTACTCCTCACCAGCTAGCGCAGCTTTGTGTGTGAGTGATTGGCCCCATAACACCCTCTCGTAACTGCTGGTGAAATCTGGCCATTCCTCGTGGTGGTGTCTGTAACTCATCAGTTTCTCTGTTGTCACCTTCTGCAGGCTTTTCTGTCCTGTTCGGGAGTTTTTTGTGGTCTGTTCAGCTGGCTAAATCTCAGTCCAGGGTGTAGTCATCTGCCTGCAAACCCTAAAACCGGGGTGGGGTTGGCAGGAAGTTGCCAACCACCCCGTTGGTGACACCTGCAGGTAGAACCCTGAATGTGGCTGTATTAGTCTAAAAGCTGGATCCTACCACACTTTCCTTTTTGTATTAAATAGTGTTCTCATTAAAGTAGATTAAGACACTCTATCTCACTTTCTTTTCGCTGCAAACACCCCATCGATGCTATTACCAATTTAGGCATCTCTTCACACCCCATGAAGCCAGTGGTATCTCAGGTGTTCACACAGGTTTTCACTTGGATGTTTTCCAGCCCGTGCCTCCCTAATGCACATCCTGCAGGCAGCAACTCGCTGAAGGGACACATTTTTCGTGCTTAGGCAGCTGCAGCTCTGCATACAATAGGGAAGTGCTTCCATGCCTCATACCACTGGGAGTGCAGGGAACAGGGACATCGGGGGCCTGGACCTCAGGAAGCGGTAGACTGCCAGGCATCTGCTCAGCTCTTTGTGATGTTTCTAGCACGCATTTCTGCCTTGAATGCCCAGCCCTTGCTGTTCCGAGCAGCACTTGTCTTGCCAGTGTGCAGCCTCCTCCATTTGGCTCCACACTCAGCCCTCCTGAGTGCCTCCCTTTGCAACAGGAGCAGCCCTTAGCTTTGGCTGGAGGGCAACAGGCAGCCCCAGAGCAGGGCAGGATACAGCCAGTAGCCTCCTCAGGACTGTGGCAGTTGTACAGATGAAGACAGACACAGTTGGGAAGAAAGCCTGCAGGCACCAGTAGCCAAATCCAGCAGGGAAACTAGCACTAGCCCTGCCTAACCTGCTGGACACTTCCTCTCGCAGAGTGCTGCTGGCTTCAGTGAGATGGCTGCTCCCACCTCCCGCTATGAGAAAACGAGACCACTGGAGGCAGGTGAGACAGTCGAGTACCAGTCCTGGGCTTGGTGGGAAGCTGTGGATGGGCCTCACGGTGCCTCTGTGGCAGCACACTGGCAGGCACGTGCTGTGGTGAGATGTGGATTTGACCTGTGTTAAAGTGCAGGAGAGGGTGGCTGAACTGCAGGTTGCTCTGGGAGAGCAGAGGTCTGGGTTTCTCCTGGATGCTTGGGGTGTAGAAGGGAGTCACTGAGCAGACTTCATCTGCTGCCTTCTTCACAGGAGCTTCCAGTGGCACCAGCAGCCTGCGATCACGATTTGAAAACATGGCTAAGACAGCAGAGGAGGAGAGAAGGCAGGCGGAGGGGGGCCGGGTAAGGTGGCAAGGCCGGGAGTGCCTGGCAGCTTGGTGGAAAGTGAGCCATGGCCACCTTGACATGTCACAGAATCACAGAATTATACAGTGCGTTGGGATGGAAAGGACTTTAAGATCATCCAGTTCCAAGCCCGCTGCCATGGACAGGGATGCCTTACCCTAGACCATGTTGGCCAGGGCTCGTCCAACCTGGCCTTGAGCACTGCCAGGGATGGGGCAGCCACAGCTTCTCTGGGCACCCTGTGCCAGCGCCTCAGCACCCTCACAGGGAAGAGCTTCTGATTTATATCTAACCTGAACTTCCCCTATTTAAGTTTGAACCCATTACCCCTTGTCCTATCACTACAGTCCCTGATGAAGAGTCCCTCTCCAGCATCCTTATATGCCTCCTTCAGATACTGGAAGGTTGCTATGAGGCCTCCACACAACCTTCCTTCCAGGCTTGCAAAGCAGACTTCTCCTCAGGGCCGTGCAGCTCCATATCCTTTTTACCTCATCTCTTTACAGTAATCTCTTGCCTAAATTGCTTCCCTGTAACTGCCAGGAACCACTGCTGATCTTCACAACTGTCACTGGATTTCTCCTTTCAGCACAGATCAGAATGTGTCTGCACCCAGACATAACCTCTTGTGCTTTGGCCCAGGCTCCTTCAGCCACACGTCCCCAGTATCACCATCCCAGCAGTCTGCATTCAGGGTTTTACAAACTGGAGATTACACCCAAAACTTCATGGTTAGAAGAGCTCCTTCTCCACTGTGCTGTTTTTACGTTCAGTGCACAGAGAAGGTTTCACCAGTAAAGCACTCCCTGATATGTTCTCTCCTTGAGCGTAATTTCTGCTGACCCCATGGTGGTTACAGGCCCGCTGGTGTCCAGTCCCTAGGGCTGCTTTATGTGAGCTGGAACAGATCTCAGCTGAAGGAGAATTTTCTGAGTTGCTCTGTTGGGAATGGACATTGCTCTGGATTTCATTCAAAGGGATTGAGAGGATCTTATGACTTTTCTCTATCAGGAAGTCCCACATCGAGAGAAGGATCACACAGAGGCAGCCTCTGCCACTGTGCCAGCAAGGAGTGCTGACCAAGACAGACCTGTGTCACAAGAAGAGGTGTCAAGGCAGGTGAGGGAGGGCAGGAAGGGGAGCGGGCAGAGGGGATTGCACCTCAGAGGGGCTGTGCTTTATGGGAACCTCTGCAGGAAGAAACGAGGTGCAGCTGCAGCATGGGAGAGGCTTTGGAAGCAGTGAGGGGGAAAATGTTGGGATGGTGATGGAACATGGCTGCACAACACCTTACACCGTGAGGCAAGCTCTTGGGTCAGTGCAGTGGCAGTGCAGTGAGCTGCAGCTAAGTATGTGAGAGAGGTTCAAACACATGGGCCATGAGGGTCTTCACAGCAATCCCAGGCGCCAGTTCAGCACAGACCTTATTGTCCAGAAGATGGTGCTCCATTTGTGTAATGGTAGCACTAAAAGCACCTGCAGTGGAGCAGACTCCCTTGTGTTGGGTGCTGTGAAGTCATGGGAGAGCTGCTTGCAGTGGGTGCTTTGTAGGTGACCTCCCTGTCACTTTCTCATTTCATGGCAGGAGACAAAAAAGGATGAGGAAACATCACCCACTTTGACACCAAGGCCAGCAGATCTGAGCGAAGAACTGTGCAAGAACTCCAGCCAGGATCAGCCAACCTACAGTGAAGGTTTGGATGCTGGTGGAGACTATGAGGAGCTGCCAGACCCCTCTGACTACTGTGACAGTACCAGTGGAGGTGCTGACTATGAGGAGCTGCCAGCCCCCTTGGGAAAGGATGCCATCTATGACCGTGGAGGAGATGGAGGTGAGGACTATGAGAACATCCTTCCTGAGGAGCCCAGCCAGAGCCAGCTGCTTGGTGGTGAGTACTAATGGAAGAGCCCATGTCTGGGGGAGCTTGTATCTGTCTGCTAACCACACTGGATGTATAGGACAGACTCCAGAGGGAATTTGTATCCTGAAGTCTCCTGTGGCCAGGGTAGCAGCCCATGATGATGCTGCATGGGGTGCTGGGCCAGGCAGCAAGTAGCTGTGCTGGAGCAGTGCTCAGGCAGGAGGACCAGAGAGCTCTAAAGAGGCTGACCTGGTCTGACTCCCTTGGTGCACTGCCTCCTGGCAGTGACGCCTGGCAAGTGACTGCTGATGCTGCAGTGAGCCCTGGGGGTGCCCTCTCAATTCTGCCTTGCTCACATGGCTGGTGCTCATTAGACCTGATCTGGTAGTGTCTCCTGCACGTGAAGAGTGCAGGGTGGTCTTCCTCCAAGCACATAAGCAAACTGCATGGGCTGCTGTTGATGTTTCCGTTGCAGCTTCGCTGGTAGTAGAGATGGTTAAGTGGAGAGGTTGGAGTTAACATCCAGCCTTTTTCCTGGGAGAGGAACATGAAGCATCAGGACCCCACCTCTCTCCTTGCAGAAGGGAGGGAAATCCTACCATGTTTTGAGCCATGGGAGACCTCTCCCTGTTGACAGGGATGTGGTTGGATGTTGTTCACCCGAAGGCTGACAGCTGCATGGAAGGTGGCACTGACCAGACCTATATGGCTGCTTCCAGCTTCTTTCTCATCTGCCCATCCTGTCTTCTGCAGGGGAAATGGACGATGTTTGTGATGTGGAGAGCCCTGGGACCTGCGCAGTGGCTCTCTATGATTACCAAGGAGGTGAGTCTGCCATCCAGGCTGTGGCTAGAGGCACGGGGAGGTGGCTGGCATGGTGAGGCAGGGAGGTGGTGGCTTACACCATCAGCAGTGGTGATTTCGATGTGGGTGCTTTAAATTTCTTCCTATTGGAAAGCAAAATGGGACCTGACTTGGGAACAGAGAAGCTTCACCTTTCATATGTGAAGTCTTGCTCCTTCTCTGACTTATCTGTGCTGTTTGATGGGTGTCAGGTGAGATGGACTCTGGGGGTTATCAGAATGCTTGTTCTATATTCTTCTCTTGGGGATGGGGGTATGTAAATCCAGCTCTTTCTGGGTTATCTTTGCATTGTGACTATCTTTTCTGAACAATTTTTGCAGATGGTGATGATGAGATTTATTTTGATGCTGATGACATAATCACGCACATCGAGATGGTAGATGAAGGCTGGTGGCAGGGGCAGTGCCGGGGCAAAATAGGCCTCTTTCCAGCAAATTATGTGAGGCTTCTCCAGTGAAACCAGCATTGTCCGAGGAGCTTCTGTCCAAACTTTTGCATTTCTCTGCTTCAGGCTTTTGCATGATATTGACTTGATTTGGCTTGGCCTGGCATGTCTGCATGCAAGAAATACAAAGAAACAAACTGGCAGTGTCTGCAGGAATGTTTCAGCCTGTGCCCAAAAGGACTTTGGCTCCCCTTCACCTCCAGATGGGAAAGGTGGGATGGTTTAAGTGCATGTGAGTGCAGTATAAGACATCTTTTCTACCTAACCTGTCCCTCACTGTCAACCTGCAAACAGAACTATGTCTGTTCCTGCTCCCAAAAGGGCCATTCACAGGAAAGAAACACCAACTCTAGTGTAGTCAAGGCAGAGGGGACATAAGCTACGGGACCTTTTTATGTTGCTGGGGCCCTGGATTTTATTCTTTCCAGGGGTCAAGGAAAAGAGGACGGACACACCTCATGAAGAGCAAACCTGCCTTTGGTCACAAGCAACATGAGGCTGCTCTATCCAGGCAAATTTCAGGGTTGGGGCCTGGGAACTTTTCACCATCCCAGTGAACACTGCTGCCTTTTCCTGTACATGAACACAAGCTTGGCTGTAGTGAACTGTTCCATTAAACAACAGAAGTGTGTGCCGGTGCAATCAAAATGTGGGATGATGTTGCTAGGGTAGGAGATTACTCACTTGGTTTTCCTCTGGGTGCCAAGAATGCTGTTGGGAGATTTGTCATTTTCTGGGATAAACCTTGGAAAAAAGAAATGTAAAAAATAGATTGTTTTATAGGAAAAAATACTCTGGAAAATCTGTCTTGGAGCAAGAGTAAAATACTAAAAGGCTTCACTTAACGAAGAGTTTGTTAATAACTACTGCCCTTGTCCTCATCCAGGCAGCCCATCAGAGGACTGTTCTGCTACGGAAATCCTTTCAATCTAGCAAATTAATCAGAAAAAGTGCTGCTTGATACAGGCAGTAGAATACTTTTAAGACAGTGCCATATTTCCTGTTAACTGCTCTGACAGCGTAACTAAGGATAAACGTGCAGGTGGGGCTGGAAGAGCCATCCCACAGCTTGTTTCTAAACCAAGGGCTCCAGCGTGTTTTGCAGTCCGTGCTAAAGGTAGGTTCCCCTCTCCAGTATTTGGCTCAGCCTCTTCTCCATGCTGTTAGGCGAGTCCCTGTGCTGAAGTCAGGCCTCCTCAGTGTGGCAGTAATATAGGTACACCTAAACAGGCCTTTGCATGACTTATTAGTTAAGAAATATTGCAGTTTTATTAACAATGGAGTTTGTTACTTGTTGGAGGGTGCTGGCTGTAGCCTCCGTATCTAAAGAATGCTGCTTTTATTTACAATATCCTGTGTATCTGACACTGTTTGGAGAAGATGAGTTCCATAACCTGAAGTTACATAAACTTTGTAACTGCCCCCTTTGGGCAGAATTCATGCAGGCAGCGTCTGTCACTCCTGTGCTCTCCCTCATAGCTGTAGTAATAAACGGATTCAAATTGCACCCTGGTTATTCCGTGACAGCACATGTCCCTGTGTCTGTTGCAGGCTGGGTTCCTTGCGCAGTGAAAAGGGCCCCTGATTCTAGCCCTCCTTCATCCTAGGTGTGGGGAACGGCTGAGCGGGTGGGACACAAGACGAGGTCAATTTTTAATGTTTAAATTTCAGCAATAATGCAACACAAACTGAAGGCCTCCCTTGAACTGGCATACTCCAGACTAGATGCTCAACGTACCACTCTAGGAGTTGTTGTTCTTTTGTGGTATGCAAATACCATCACAATAGGAATAAATAAGGGACACGCTGGGGGGGGGGGGTGTGAAACTGTAGTGTTTGATATTGAGAAAAATCACAGGCTGTGCCTTTCCATCATGACACACTGTGATTCGGGTTAGAAACTTCCAATTTTAGTGTAAATTTCCTGGCTATTGATTGTGGGGTTTTTTTTTGGGGGGGGGTGTATTGTTTTTTCTCTCTGAAATCACTTCCCCAGTTTTTTTCCTCATGCAGTTCACCCATTATTTCCTGATGTTCCTTTCCAGGGGGCTCACCAGAATAGGTCTGGTTGTGGCACACTCTGGGTGTGCCAGTGAGACTCTGAGCTAGGGGTGTTTTTAATAACCTCATACAATCAAGAAGGGTGTATAGCAAGTACAGCCATCTGCGAGGCTTGCAGCCTGTTTGGCTGAGAGCAGCAGCCGTCCCAGCACATGGGCTGCAGAAGCATTTCTTTCCTGAAGAATAAAATCAGTGTGTGTTGTGTACTGGGAACTGGGAAACTGTTCCCAGGAAGCTGTACGCCTCATGGGCCTGGGTTTTGGCTCTCCAGGAGTTTTCTTTGGGAACAGACTGGATTTTGCTGGGTATCTCTTGTAACTGAGCTATAGGTGAGCATGAGCCCCTCTGTGGGGTAACCGCCTGATCAAGAGGACTCTCCTGGAGAGCAAGAGGAGGAAGGACTGCTTGCTTGTGTGGAGAGACGTAGATGGACCGGTCGACCAGATCATGGTCACAACATGATCAAAAGCTGTAGTGAGGAGTGACATGAGTACCCAGACTGAGCCTGCCTGCAGACACACGGCCGTGCAGGTCTCTGGCTGCAGTAAATGCCTGAGCCTGGCACTCGTACTGGAGGGAGCCAGTGACACCGCTGTGTGCGGTGCAAGCGAATAAATGATCTGCTCAGGCAGGTGGCTGAACTGAGGGAGGAGGCGGAAAGGCTGAGAGCCATCAGAGAATGGGAAAGTGAAATAGATTGGTGGAGCCACACCCTAAGGCAAGGGCAGAGGGAAGGGGTTGAACAAGGGGTGGATCCCCTTCCCTCCCACCATCAGATAGAAGGAGTGAACCTAAGGGACAGGGAGGTATGGATGGAGGTCCCTCCTCGGAGAGGTAAGCGGAAACCCTTGCAATCCCTTCCTCCCTCCCAGTTGCCCTTGAATAACAGGTATGAGGTCTTGGAACTACAGGGCCAGGTAAATGGAGATGGAGGGGTAGATCTATCTAGTGAGTCACCGAGGGCTTGTCACTCACCCTCATGCCTTAGAACTTCACCAACCAAGAAGAAAAGAAGAGTAATTGTGGTGGGTGACTCCCTTCTGAGGGGAGCAGAAGGGCCCATTTGTCGACCAGGTCCATTGCATAGGGAAGTCTGCTGCCTACCTGGGGCTCAGATTAGAGATGTTAAAAGGAAGCTCTCTGATCTGGTGCAGCCCTCTGACCACTATCCGCTGCTGGTTTTTCAGGTTGGCACTGATGAAATTATTACAAGGAGGTCAAGGGCGATGAAGACAGACTTCAGGGCCCTGAGATGGTTGGTTAGAGGGTCTGGAGGGCAAGTGGTGTTTGCCTCCATACCTGTTACAAGCAAGGGTGAAGAGATAAATAGTAAGAGTCTGCAGATGAATGTATGGCTACGTGACCTGTGCCAAAGACAGGGTTTTGGCTTTTTTAATTATGGGCTGCTATATAAGACACGTGGTTTGCTGGTGGTGGGTGGGATACACCAGTCCCAGAGGGGGAAAAGGTTTTTGGGGCAGGAGTTAACAGGGCTCATTGACAGGGCTTTAAACTAGATATGAAGGGGGAAGGGGAGTTAACTGGGCCTGTTGGGGACAAGCCCAAGAGAAACATGATTTCCCCTAGACAGGCACTGGTGCCACACCATTACTCTGTGGCAGCCCTGGTACTGCTTATGCATTGCTGCCAGGGGAGCCCAGTGTGCCCCATCCCCACACAGCCTTCTGCAAGGACCCCCACACCTCCTGGTTGTGGAAGCTGTAGATGAGGGGGTTCAGCATGGGGGTGACGATGTCATACAGTGCAGAGATCAGTGCATCGGCTCCTGGGCCAGTTGTAGTTCAGGCTGGCTGTCACAAAGTACAGAGTGACCACAAGCAGGTGGGCAGAGGATGTGGAGAAGGCCTTGCAGCAGCTGATGGCCAGGGGCATCCCAAGGATGGTGGCAAGGATATGGAGGTAGGAGACAAGGACAAACAGGAAGGGACTGAGCCCCACAGAGACACTGGCAGCATGGACTGGGGCGGGTGTTGCTGCAGGTAGCCCTCAGCTGCAGAGGGGCATCACAGATGTGCTGGAGCTGGGCAGCCTGGAGGGCAGGAGGATGGGCACGGCAGAGTCCAGCAGCGCACAGCGGCAGCCACGCAGGCTCTGCGGTTCATGGCCTGCAGGTAGCCCAGGGGCTGGCACATGGCTGCGCAGCAGTCATAGGCCCTGACAGCCAGGAGTGTGCACTTGGACCCTGCGCACCCCATCAGGAAGAACGTCTCTGCCAGGCACCCACAGCAGGAGATGGGTGCCTGCTGACGCAGGGCATTTGCCAGCATCTTGGGCATTGTCACTGAGGAATAGCAAATGTCCAAGCAGGACAGGTGACTGAAGAAGTACATGGGGCTGCGGAGATGGGGATCCAGGGACACGAGGGCGAGGACTGCAGAGTTCCCCAGCAGTGTGGCCAGGTAAATAGCCAGGAAAAGAGCAAAAAGGAAGGGCTGGCCCAGGAGCACGAACTCTGACACCTGAGTCAGCGCGAACCTGTCATGGGGCCACTTGAGTTGGTCTTTGGGCAGAAATGAGCACTATGAGGAGAAGATGGTGATTGTGAGCCAGGGGACCGAAGCACAACCACCCGGAAGGCAAAGGTCTCACTGGTAGGATGGCTTTGGTCCTATCTCCATAGCAGTTGAAAGCTTCCTGTGTTGGGATTTCACAAACGCTAGGTTTTGGAGTCCAGCGAGCTGCCAGTCAGTGTTGGATACCTGACTGCAAGAGAATCACACAGAAGAAACCAAGAACAGTATGCATCAAGGTGAAACCACACGTCTTGGGTTCTCCTGCCAGCCCAACCCCTGGTCTTGGTAAGAATACCACATCTCATCCTCTTGGTGGCCCTTATACAGTTACTATATACTTCCCTGCCCCTAGACATGGTCACGTCATTTCTTAGATGCCACAGCCACTAAGTTTGCTCTTCCCAAGCCACTGGTTGGGGATGTGGCATCACCCTACACCAGTTAGAAGAGTTTTTTTCTTTATCTTGTCTCCTGCTCTGCCATTTTGGGGGTGCTTTGCTCTGTGATAACCAACACTTGGAAAAGCACAAGTTCTAACTGGGGGTGACTCAAGACATGGTGTTTGTTAAGCCACAGCCAAATTTACGTTATCAGGGATCTCAACTGGCCTTTCTTCCATCATCCTATTTCAAGTCTCACCATGACACAAGGGTTCTGCTTACTGCCATGCGAAGCTATGGCTACCATGTCCACATGATGGTCAAAGCATGAGGAAGCAGTTATTGCTCATAAAGCTCAGATAAGGGCTGCTGAAGCTGGTGCTTACTGTGTCCTTGTGGCGAGGGCTGCTGCAGCCGCCCTGTGCCAGTGCCAGGAAGCCTAGCAGATGGAGGCTGGGTGTTCTGGTGCACAAATACAGCAAAGATGGTGTGGCAGCCTCTGTGGGGCTGAGAGAGAGGTAAAAAAACACCTGCAATCGCCTTGGCTTGGGTGCAGACCTGTCCCTGACAGCACTTGTACAGGCACAGACTGCACTCAGCCAGCCTGGAAACCAGCGGCTGCTCTTGCCTGGGTGAGGGAAGGGATCCAGAGAGGCTTAAGCTCACATACATGTTGCTAAGGGAGCACCAAGGCTGGAAGCACCAGTGCAGATTATGACTGCATGGCCAATCTTAATTCCTCTGTCCAACACATGTATCTGTATCAGCCACGATTTTACAAAGTTGACCAATGGAGACTTCAGTGATTACAATTGCTTACTGCAATAATCTGTCCAAGCAGTTGCTCACTGTGGGCTGTTTTCCGGTTGGAATTGCTCAAATGTCAGCTCTGTCTCACTCACAATTTTCAGGTCTTTCTCTTCCTCATTAAGGGCCCTGTATTCTAACAGCGTTCTCTCCTTGTCTCTACTTGCACACTGATCAGTGTCAGTGTTTGCTAAGCAGAAGAGCCAAGTTCTGATTCATTTCTCGTTTACTCTCCAGTTTGTCAACTTCAACAACAACAAACAACAAAGTATTGAGAGGAAAACCTTCAGTCAGAAGATGAATTCTGCTTTGCCTCATGCAGGATGTCCAAACTTGTCTCTCCATCCTGGATGGGGTGTTACAAGGCTGAGAAACCACTGCCTGCCAAGCACCCCAGCGGTGCCCGAGTTCAACATGTGTTTTAATAGTGTTGAGGGTTTTATTTTTATTACTTGTTTTGCATCCATTGCACAGGTACCTAAGGACTGCCTCATCCAAGATTCTGGAAATCTCAGACCATCGCTGCTTCCGGCCAGCCTGCAGCCAAAGCTGTGTGCATTTTGATGCAAGAACAGCCCAACTTGTCTGTCCCAGTATTGCAGCCAGGAGCAGGAGCCTGAGAGGGGCAAGCACTGGGAGGGACAGCAGCAGCGTTCTCAGAAACTGGCTTGTCTTGAGCTGTCCCTGTCTGCAAAGCTGCAAAATGCACATGTTGATCTGTGCCACTTCAAGATCTGTGTTTGTGACCTGTCAGAGTGCTCAGGCAGTGGATTCCTTAAGGCACAAGAGCCTCCATGGTGTAGGGGTGAGAGGGGGAGAGTCTGTCCAGAACCTTGTTGGATGCTTTTACTTGTGACCTGTAAACGAGAGGCAGGAGTCTCCTGACAAGTTACGGTGAAGCTGGCACCAGTGAAGGTGGGGACCTGCCTGCTATGTGGGAGGAATGGGGCACCTCAGGAACCAGAGTGATAAAAATAAGTGTAATAGTAGGAGGTTGGGTATGTAAGGACTGTCACCTCGTGCTCTGCACTGGGGCTCAACACTTGGAAATAGGAGCAGGTGAGCAAGAGTGTGAGACTATCACATGCTATCAACCAGCCCTTGGTCTACTGTGGGTACACAGCCATGACCCATCATGTTTGCAGCAGCAGGAGGGAATTGTTGGTTCCACTGCAGGAGGGACAGTGAGCTCTGGAGAGCTGCAGATGGTGCTTTCCCCATGCTGACCAATCTAGGCTGGATTAGGTGTATAGCTACAGGGCTACAGTACAGCCACAGGAAACCTGCAGAGGAATGACGCCAGTTTTTCACCATCATCTGGAGCAATGCAGTAGTCAGTAGACCCAGCCACATGACAAGAAATGCCAGATTCAAACCTCAGACATCCTGTACACAATGGACAAAGAGGAAGATACAATAGGAAAATCTCCCTTTTTCTCCTGGGCTGCATAGGAATGAGCCTTGAAAGAATCTCCATCTTGCCTCAGCTCCTTTCCTCTCTCACTTGCACTGAGGCGGTTTCTCATGGTAGCTAATGACTTACCAAGTATTTCTCTGTGCTGTGACACCTCTGCTCGGTGCTGACTAGTCCAGAAACACTGTACAGGGGGCAGAGGGGGAGTACGGATACCACCAGTGCTGGGGATACAGCTGGTTTCTGTCATTCCTGCTGAGAGAAGGAAGGTTCCCCTGACCACGGTGATGGTGATGCACCAGTGTGAGACCCAGCTCAGTGCTGGTGCAGTCCCTAAAGCAGGATGCCTTATGTCACCGTGATTCACTTCTGCATAGCTCCAGCATCTGAGGGCAGACGCCCTCACCCTTCCTCCTACAGTGGGCAGATGTGCTCCATGCCCACCCTGGGAAGCCAGCCGCTCCTGCAGGATGTGGCTTTCCTCACAGAGCCACCATACTCCATTTGCACTTTGGTGAGCAGACCAGATAGCCAGAGCACGTCGCCATGAGAGGTAAGGTCCTGAATCTTGGCCATGGTCCAGCCCCAGTTCCAGGTGATGGTTAATTACACGTGATTAACTTCTGAAAAGGACCGGATTGCTTTGTTTGAGGCATCACTAACAGACACAACCCAGACCACCCAAGAGCCCTGTGTGACACTACTAGGTTCGCTCCCAAGTAATGTGCCTATAGTGAACCCTGTGAGGGTCCAACCATGACTGAGGCCCTGCCCCACCCCAGGCAGCAGTCCTGCCCTGCCAGCTCTCCCTTACCTCCATGTCCAAGAGCAGTGGATGGCATCCAATGCTTGAAAAGAAGAAAAAACTAGCAATGTGCCCAGCTGCTGTCCAGTTCTCTTACGGGCATGAGGAAGAGCCTCTGTGTCCTCAAAGCTTGTGAGTGGAGGCTTTTAACCCTGTGAGGGCACTTAGGGAGAGGCTTTCACAAGTAGCTCTTGTTCAGTGGTGGCAGCAGGCAGCAGAGGAGCATCTCTCAGTCAACACGTGCAAGTGGTACTTGCAGCTACAGCAAAAAGCCCTCCTGGCACAGGACCCACCTTGATCTCCTGTTCTGCTCTGGGCTGTGCAAACTGCAGACCAGCCAGGGCTCTGTAGGCCAATTGGAGTGCTTTAAATGAGATGCTTTAAATAGAAGGCTGAAGTTTAAGAGAGATTTCCTTGTTTCCAGTTTGTCTGCTTGGTACCCATTCCCCACAGGCTTCTCTCCACAGAGAAAATGCCATCAGAGCTTCAGTGCCCATTACTAAGAGCCCAGAACACTTCACTTTCTCCCCTAGGTTTTTGTGAGACCTGTAAACAAGGCTTCAAGTGGCCTATTAAAAATTGGAGGCAGTCACTCAGGAGTGACTTTGACGCTGTTCACATCTGCTGTAATCAACTGCATCATCATGTCATAAGCACCAGAGTGAGACATGTGAGAAGAATGTCTTTGTTCTGTGCAGATTCCCAATCTTTGAAATGTTCATACTCTGGGCAAAGAAACACATAAAGTTGTTGAAGTACTAAAAGGAGAAAAAGGTAAAAAACTTAACCTGAAAGACAGTAAACTTTATGGAAAACTTCAGCAAATACAAAGCTGAAGGTCCACAGTAATTTGTAATAATGATTGTGCCTTCTTGCCCAAATTCCTTCTCTGCTCTGAGGCAGTGTAGCTACACTATAGATGTGCATTACAGCCGTGTCAGATAGGTATTGTTTCTGTGAAATACGGGGGGAGCACTTCCTTTGGAAAGCAGAAACTCTGGTTCAGCAGCCTTCAGTCTAATACTCAGCTATCATGATTCTGTGTAAACAGGCAGAAGGCATTTAAGCATCAGTAAGAAGAGGACAACAACCAAAATACAAACGTTGACTGTACATGAGATTGTTGCAGCATCAGATATTACATATTTAAGCTAAACCAGCATTTGGATAACCTGCCTTTATTATTTCACAACATAATGTTTGCAAGTCAAATAAGGAAACCAAAAACCTTTACAAAAGAGAAGAAATAGCCTGTGCTGGGCATTACCAGGATTTATTAAAAATAATCAGAGGTTTCAACTTGTTCTGTAAAAGCAGATTAGGGACAGGGAAGGGGCAGGAAGAAAAGCGAGAAAGGGTACAAGAAATTGTTTCAAATTAAAGCCATGGGAAGTTACAAAGTCAAACGTACAGCACAGGACTGGGAGGCACAAGGAGGTAAGCGGAACACACGTGAATTGTCATTATGAACTGGTTTCAGCTCTAACAGTTAGTTTTCCTCCTAGTAGCTGGTACAGTGCTATAACACACTAAAGAAGTGAAACATTTCTTCAGCACTTACAAATAGGGGAAAAAAACAGTAAGACTTTTCCAAGAGGCTTCAAAGCAGAGATTCTGCTAAAATCCAAAGGCTTCCTTTGATATTAAAAGCATTTTTTGACACTATCTCCTCCATCTAACACCAAATATTTCAGTATTGTCAGAATCATTAAATGATCTGGGTTGGAAGAGACTTTAAAGCTCCTCCAGCTCCAATCCCTGCCATAGGCAGGGACCCCTTCCACTGGAGCAGCTTGCTCAAGCCCCTGTGTCCAACCTGGCCTTGAGCACTGCCAGGGATGGGGCAGCCACAGCTTCTCTGGGCACCCTGTGCCAGTGCCTCAGCAGCGTCACAGAGAACAACTTCTTCCTTATATTAGATCTCCTGACAGACTTCAGAGAAAATCTTTAGATTTACAGAACAAATGCTCTGTGTAGGGCAATGGCACTGCAGTTCCAACAACCTCTTCTCAGGTGCAGTCTTGTTGGACCAAAGAAATGTTACTATGGACATAACAACTGGTAGTAACCTAAGGAATGGTGACGGTCACCTGACAATCACTCTGTGAAAACACTGCACCACTAAGCCAGTGCTGTTTGTACTTGAAATTTTAAAAGGATTGGTTTCCCCAAATGTAATAATGACAAACAACTAGGAAAATTAACACATTTCAAACAAGAAGTGTAAGCCAGGAATTGTCATTTAATGTCACCCCAAATGAATAGCCAAAAAAAGAAAGCACAATATAAATAAAGATAAAAATAAAATCGTAATGGTTACTAATCTCATGAAAACCCCACAAAACTGACAGACACGGAGGGAATCAATAAAATATCAACTGACAGTAGCATTATGGACAGTAAGATTCCAGAGTTGTATAAACACAAACTCGATCATGAGCAGATCCACCTTTGCGTACTGCTGGTGAAAATAAAAGAGCAATGCAAAAACGCAGAAATACTCCGCAGATCCTTTTGATCTGTACCTGGAACAAAACAATGACTGCATTTAATCTCGTATAATGGTAATGAAGGAACAAACATGTTGATGCATTTTGTCAAGGAAACTCTACAGAAGCATCTCCTACAATTACACATTTTTCAATCAAATGCCCAGCATTTCACATAGTTGTCTTAAACTAGCCACAGCAACTTCCCTTTGATCTGTACCACAGTGATGCACTAATGAATTTGAGAATCAATCAACAACCTAGTCAAGAGCTGTAGGGAAACAGTATCCTCAGTGCTAGTCATGCGTAACTTCAGAAGAGGGGAATCAAGCTAACAAACTTCTTGTCCCAAACACCGTACAATGGTACCTTCATCAATATAGTGCATTTGAAATTATGTGAAAGAAATTCACTCAGTACAACATGGCACCTTAATTAAAAATATCAGCATTGTAACTGCAATCTGGAGCAGTTTAAATGGATTAAAAACTGGTACAGAAGAGAGCTCAAAATGCACCAAACAGGGAAACATAAATAAGCATACCAGAACCTTGCTCTGTACCTCAAAACCAAGTCCTCACACACCAGGATATGATAACTGTATCAATCATTGCATAACAAAGTGACTTTGTCCATATAATTTACAAAGGACATGGAACTCAGTACTTTAATGCCCAGTAAGAGTATAGGCAATGAAGTCTCTTGTAAAGAAATTGCCCGGCAGAAATTCTACAGCCCCTGTGTACCAGCATTCAGATCAGCTTCTCTGGCCTTTTATTATGGACTTGAGAAATCCATAGCTTTAATGGCCACTATCAAGTCTCATCAGAACTGCAGATCTCATCCCCCAGGCAATCTAAAAAGCACAAACAAAAGATCCTTCAGAGTCACTGGAGTATTCCACACCTTTCTGCATCTTCCCCTAGAACTCGTGCTGCAGACTTGTCAGCCCAGCCCAAGTCAACCCAATGGGATACGCTGCTTTCCTCTTGGGAATGGCTTCTAACTGTGCCCTCCACCAGAAGCTCAAGATCAGAATTATGGTACAAAACTGGAGAGAACCTTGTTTTTCAGCTTGGATTCAGGAAAGCAAGGACAGGAGAGTTAGTATTACCCTGCTTATTGATGCCTTTTTTCATATTCTTTTCCCTCTCTTTTCTCCTTACGGGACTCTGGGAACAGAGCAAATAGTAAGACTCTGAGGACTACCATCAGCAAAACAAACCATATCCTAACTGGAACTAGCAACCCCTTTCATGTGCCCTGTTGCTGGACTCACCTGTACCGCTTATGTCTAAATAAACACCAGGGACCAGTGAACTCCATGGCTAGATCTCTACATCCAGATGGAGTACTGCTACTTGAGTTTTTGCCTAAACTGCCCCAGTGCCTGGATGCTGCATGAACAACATTAACTCCAGGTCACACAACATGATGTGCACTAGGTCTTTCTCTCCCCCACGCTCCTTAAAACATGCCATGGCTCTATGTCTTGCTATGAGGCTGACACAGTGTGTCTAGCAGCTACTCCCAGCTCAGCAAGCCATACCCCCGGGGTAACTCAGGTCAACTCTTGTCTCTTCATCCCTGAACACAGTGGACACGCTCCTCTGCATTGTAATACACCTGCCCTTGCCGCAGACGTGGCTCTTCCTGCTGGTACCAGAGCTGCTCATTGAACTCTGGGAAGAAAAAGGCAATTTCTCTGCTGGCTGATGCTGGTGAATCTGTTGGAAAACAGAGGGGAAGGTGAGTGATGGCAGTGTGACACTACAAACGTGCTACATTCCAAAGAGAAGGGCAAAAGCCACAAGAAAAGCACCAGGCTCAAGTCACACCAGGACAGGGGTGAGAGGAGTCTGCAGAAGTGAGTAAACCATTAACTGTGACTTCCAGACTGGAAAGCAAGCAAAACACCAGTGCTCACACCTTCCTGAGCTCCAACCTTTGCCCAACACTCAACAAAGAAGAATGGGTCTACCTGATCCATGAGTGGTATTCCTCGTGTCAGTGAGGCCATAAGCTCCTCGAATGGAGTCTGGGACGCTGTTTCGGGCTCGGAATACTTTGGTGGGTCCCATCAGGGATCTCCAGAGCGGAACAGCATTCTCATGGGCCAAGATGTAAGCCCACATGGGGCCACTGAGAAAAAGACCAGGGAAGAGGAGAAGTAGATAAGGTTACAAAAGGGCATGGCTTCATTCTTATAGATACAACAAGTGCAAACAAGGAAGTGCAAGTGTCTTCCAGTGCTTCTGGGAGGCGACACAGCCCTACCATGGCACTAGACCCTGAGTCTGTGGCTCAGAGCAGAGCATTTGTGTGAATGCCCTCCTCCTAGGTGATGGTGCCCACCACCCCACTAAGCCCTACTATAGTCACAGCAGGGTTATCTCCTGGCATTTCTCCACCCCTGAGCCCAGGGCCTTCCTTAGGTGAGACACGTCCCACGCCAAAGTGGCCCCTCCACCCAAAGGCGGGACAAGGGTCTTCTGTGAAGGGAGCTCCCTCCTGGCGCCCCGCAGAGACCGGCTGCGGCCATGGCAGGTACCTGGCCATGAACTCCACCAGCCGCTGGTAGAAGAACCGCCCTGCGGGAGAAAGACGGGCGGGTCAAACCGCATAGCGCCGCCGGCCCCGGACACGCTCGTCCACCCCCCAGCCCCAGCCCCAGGCCCAGCCCCAGCCCCAGGCCCAGCCCCGTGCAGCCTACCCGCGTGCTCCCGGTAAAACCGGCGGCTCTCCTCCCGCCCGCAGCGCAGCTTCTTGGCGCGCACTATGAGGAACCGGTTGCTCAGAATGGTTTCGTGTACGGCCTGCGGGCAGAGGCGCAGCGGCTGGGAGGGCGGGGGGGCACCGCCGGGACGCTCCGCTCCGCACCGCACGGCCTGGTCCGGTGACTTGGGGCGGAGCGGGAGGAAGCGAGGCTGTGCGGGACCATGCGGGGCGGGACGAAGAGGACTCGTGCGGGACGATGAGGGGAGGGACGAAGCGGGGAGGGACGAAGCGGGGAGGGACGAGAGCGGGACGAAGAGGACTGGTGCGGGATAGTGAGGGGAAAGACGAGGCGGTGCGGTGCAGGACGAAGCGGGGCGGGGCGGGGCGGGGCAGGACGATGCGGGGCGCCCAGCGCTCACCTCCAGCACCAGCGGGTGGGCCACGGCGTCCGGCTTCAGCAGAGCCAGCGTGAGCTGCAGCGGCCGCCCACAGGGCCCCGCCGCCGCCATGGCCCCCGGCGCGCCTGTGACATCAGCGGAACGTCGCGCTCGGTGACGCGGTGCCGGAGGCTGGCCCCGCACATCGCGTAGCAGCGGGGACGCGGAGGCGGGGCCATGGCGGAGGCGCCGGAGCAGGCCCGGGCCGAGGCGGCGGCCGGAGCGGAGGAGGCCGTGAAGATCATCTGCCTGGGCGACAGCGCCGTGGGCAAGTCCAAGTGCGTGTGTTCCCCTCGGGTAGGGCAGGGGCGGCTCGGCGCGGTCCCCCGGCCTAACGGCAGCGCCGTACTCTTTCCGCAGGCTGCTGGAGAGGTTCCTGCTCCACAGCTTGTATCCTTGTGCTGCCCCTTGCTGCCCGCCCGTGTTGCCGGGCCTGCGCGGCGGGGGCTGGGGAAGAGCGGCGGGCCCGGCCGGGGAGCGGTCGCCGCGGCGCGGGGGCCGCCCTCCTCTGTCTGTTCCTTAACGCGGACGCAGCTGCCCCCAGCAGCTCTCCACCTTCGCCCTGACGCTCTACAAGCACCGCGCCCGGGTGGACGGGCGGGCGGTCCTGGTGGGTAAGTGGAGAGCGCCCCGCTGGGTGTTGCGGGGGAACGGGCAGGTGCCGGCTGCAGCAGAGCGGGGATAGCGGCGGTGCTGCGGGCAGAGGCAGCGGCGCACGGACCCCAGACCACGGCAGTTTTCTGCCCGGGGCAGTGGGGTGCCAACACGTGTTTGTAGGCAGGGAAATGGGGGAATGGAGGGATCAGAGGATCACAGAATGGGGGTCTCTGAAGCTCCTGTCCAACCCCTGCTGAAACAGGGCCACCTGCAGCCAGTTGCCCAGGACCATGTCCGGGTGGCTTTTCAATGTCTCCAAGGATGGAGACTCTACAACCTTCCTGGGCACCCTGTACCTGTGCCCAGCCACCTTCACAATGGAAAGTGTTTCCTGATGTTCAGAGGAAAACAGCTGTGTTTCAGTTTGCACTGTCTGCTCATGTCACTGCATACCACTGAAAAAGCCTAACTCCATCTTCTTTACTCTCTTCCTTCAGGTATGTATACTCATTGATGAGATCCCCCCTGAGCCTTCTCTTCACCAGGGTAAAGAATTCCAACCCTCTCAGCCTCTTCTCATAAGAGGTGCTCCAGTCCCTTCATCATCTTCATGTCCATTTCTCTCCTGTACTCAGGAGCTCAGAACTGAACACAGTCCTGCAGGTGTGGCCTCTCCAGTGCAGAGTAGAGGTGAAGGAATGTTTTGCCTAATGCAGTTAAGGATGCCAATAGCTTGGTTTGCGGCAAGGGGACAGCAGGGGGAAGGAAGAGCAGAGAGGGGGCTTGCTCTGGCTTGCAGGCTGGGTGTTAATCACTTTAGCTGCAGTATGAAGCTGTCTTCAGACTCTTCTACTCTGTCAATGTAGTAAATAAGTGAGAAGAAATATTCCATATGCTTATAACAACAGAGCCTGCAGTGGGATTTAGCTGCCTGTCGACATCAATTCTAAAACCCTATGCCATGCATTACTCCAGTGGATCTGCTATTTTAGTTGCTGAGGTTTTAATATATTTTAACACAATCTTCCTATCACTGGTTATCCTTTTCTTGGCTATTCTCACTTGGTTCATTACTTCTGGTGTGTGTACCAATTGCTGTACTTGAAGTTTATAGAATTTAAATTTTTTTGCTGGATATGTCCAGCCTGTCTGATCTTATCATAAAATCCCACCTGTTTTATCTCAAGCTTTGTTAGTTCTTTTTTGGTAGAATACAAGCAGCATGGCTTTATCAGGCATCTCTGTTATCAGCCACACTCAACTCTCCCATAACATCAGGTTTATCACAAGTGTGAACTTTGTTTTTTATGCCAACGAAGCGTTGCTTTAACCTGTGAGACTTAGCCTCATAGCACGGTGCTGTTCACTGTGTGTTACGGATGGAAGCTCAAGAAAAGCATGATCTTATTCTGTGGTTTGAGTGGATATTCTGTAGTGCTGCATCTGTCACTACAATGTGTTTCCAGAGTATTACAGCTTTTGGAAGGGACTGTGGGAGGACATCTTGCACATCTCCACACAGGAGAAACTCTTTACTTATTGATGCTTTTCATTGATATGTTTCTATCATAGGGTCACCCCATAAGGTCATATATATATATTTATATATAGATAGATATTTATAAAACACATATTCAAAGACTTCCAGTAACAAAGCCTCCTTAGGCCATCTATTCCAACCTATTAGGGTTCTTACTGCTAGAAAATCTTTCTTGATACTTAATGCAAATCTTCCTTGTTCAGGATGAACCAGTTATTTCCTGTGTTTCCCGGACACTGAACAATTTTTTCCCCCTTCCTGTTTGTACCAGCTTTCTACATGTTTGAGCACTGCACCTTTCCCCTTTGCTGGTGAATGAAAAACTGGACACAGGCTATCAACGTGCAACTGCAGCCCAGAAAGCAAATTGACTTGGGCTGCGTGAGAAGAGCATGACCAGCAGGTTGAAGGAGGCAATTCTGCTCTGCTCTGCTCGAGACCCCACCAGGAGTCCTGCATCCATCTCTGGGATCCCCAGTACAAGATAAACATGGATCTATTAGAACAGGTTCACAAAAACTATCACAGGGACGGAGCACCTCTACTATGGAGAGAGGCTGAGAGATTGGGGTTGTTCAGCCTGGAGAAGAGAAGGCTCCAGGGAGGCCTTCTTGTGGCCTTTCAGTATATAAAGGGGGTTTATAAGAAAGATGAAGAAAGACTTTTTATCAGGGCTTGTATTGACAGAACAAGGCACAGCAGTTTTAAACTGAAAGAAGGTAGGTGTAAATTGGACATGAGGAAGAAATGTTTCATGCTGAGGGTGGTTACACTGGGGAACCACTGGCACAGGTTGCCCAGAGAAGCTGTGGCTGCCCCATTGCTGGCAGTGTTCAAGACCAGTTTGGACAGGGCTTGGAGCAAGCTGCTCTAGTGGAAGATGTCCCTGCCTGTGACAGGGGGTTGGAACTGGAGAAGCTTTAAGGTCCCTTCCAACCCAAACCAATCTGGGATTCTGTGATTCTATGATCTTGTCTCCCTCCTTCTTCTGAGCTTGGTGTATGCAGAGCTGGTTCTCTTTCATTTCCTCACTTTCCTCTGCAGCATTTTTGAGTCCTCCTTAAATACATTATCACCAGCATTGCTGACTGGGAGGGATTTGGCCAGAGGGGGTCTGTCTGTCTTGGAGCTGACTGAAAGTGGCTCAGCCTGTCATGGAGTGAGCTTCCAGTGTCTTCTCACAGAAGCCATCCCTGCAGCCCCTGCCCCTTACACAGACCTTGCCATTTACACCTAATAAAAGGTTTCAGAGAAAAGCCATGAGGAGCAGTTGAAAGATGGTAAAAAGGGGCCTAATGGTGAGGGACTCTGGCTTCTCAGGGGGAAGGTAAAATATTAGAGAACAGGAACTTTGTACAAAAGGAGGTTTCAGCACAACAAGAAATATTTAACAGACTCTATTTGATGTTAGGTAAACTCATATAAAAGATGAGGTGGGGAGCTTTTTTAACCGTTAAGTGAAATACAGTTAGGACAACTTGCAAAAGTCAGGGACTTATTTTTAACATGGATTTAGTACTTTATGAAGTAACTTGGTCTAGTTTAAGTAATTCGTGTGGCTAATGTTTTGCAAGTGTTCACAGTGTCTTCTGCACCTTTTATGAACATAAGGCTGATCATCCAAGCTACTTTGCAGAGAAGACCTCTCATGAAGTGGGATTTGTAAAGGCATATAATGTGATCTGAAGACTCAAACCGTGCAGAATTACCACTTCCCTTGCTAGTTTAAGTTTTACTCTGTTGAGCTGTGCTTAGAGGCCATCGCCAAATTCCGCATGATAGAGTTAGGATTGCATTAAAATGTGCTGTATTCATATTTATGAATCTTACTTTTCCCAAGGATTTTAAGGTTGATAAATCCCTGTGTTCTGGAGTGACATGGGGTATGACAGACAAATCTGGAGGATTTGGTAATAAAAGCAGCAGTGTTTTTCAGTAAGGCATGGCAAGTTCTCTCGGGACAGCTGCCGCATTGCCTGGGAACTTAATTTAGGGACATTCAGTAGGTCATGATCACTGGCACCTCTTTTGTCCTTCTAAGTGAGGATTCTGAAATGGTACATTAAAAGGATTGGGGTGGGGAGGAGCCCTACCTGAGACAGACAGAAAAGGGCATTAGAATGTTGCTGACTGTTCAGGTATGCTTTATGATACGCAGTCTACGAGGTACTTAATGAATTGGGACCTGCCTGTCTCCTCCCTTGGGACCCTGAACTGGGCCCTATGCCCTTAGTAATTTTAGAATGAGTTTTGCCCCTGGGAAAAGCAGAGTTGGACTGTCCGTGAAAGCAGAGAGAATATTGCCTAGGGCAGGCACCTGGCTGTATACCAAGGTGTCAGAAATCAGGCCAATTACAAGAGGTTCAGGTTTTGTTTCCTGTTGTCATCTCTAGTGACAAAGCACTATGCATTGTTACCACTCTGCACTTTGGACTAGCTTTGTCTTTCTGTTTTTTGCAAGTGATATCTACTGATGACTTCTCTTTTGCTGATATGCTTATAGCCATGTTCAGTGCCAGCACAATGCATAGTTAAGCATAGCTAAGAAAAGGTTATAGTTCTGCATAATCTCTTAGCCTTGGAACGTTTCAGATTAGTGAGGTGAAACCACCATCTGTGACCCAGAGTAGATGGGACTGGGCTTTATCTCCTGGGTTGAAGTTCTAAGGAAAACAACTTGAAAAGATGTGTCATTCTAAGTTTGTTTTTTTGTGTCTTACAGACTTCTGGGACACAGCTGGACAGGAGAGGTTCCAGAGCATGCATGCATCCTATTACCATAACGCTCATGCTTGTATCCTGGTAAGGGCAGTGTCTCAGCTGTGATTTGATGGAATTCTGACTAATGCAGTCCCAGCTGACACGTGGCCTATGTGTTACTTGTGACAATGCTGCTTTAGATTTATCTCTTCCAGTGGTTTAAAAAACTTTCCTATATTGTTCTTTCTTCTCTCACCAGATAAAAGCAGTGTACTTGGGTATGTTTAGCTCTATTCTGTCTTTCCTCATAGCACTCTTACTGTATTCCCTGGCTTTGCTGTCTTCTAAATTTCCTTACTTTTGTAAGCATTCCTTTCTTGTTCTGCTCTTTGACTATTGGATTATGTAGTACGAAACTGTTCTGACATGTTCCGCAGGGGTGCTACATAAGACATTCTTCTCTGGTCTTCTGCCCTTTCTGTTTTCCTGTAATTTGCTCTTCCCATTTATTAGCTCAAATAAGTCTTTTTTCCTGACTTCTAACCCTCTGAGGTCTCTTGCTTTGTACTGCTGCTCAACCTTTCCATTCTTTCTTATCACTTGTGAGCATTAGTCAACTTCATTGGTATTTTAATTGTTAAACTGGAGAAGTCTTACGTCTGACCCTACTTAGCAGAGCAGATCTTTCCTATGCTTGTTCACTTGTCATGGGTGATGCAGTGTTTGTCATAGTACAAAATAAATAAGACTGTAAAGGAAAATGAGGGGCTGTTCCCTGCCTCATGCAAAGAAGTGGGCTGGCTGCATGTTTCAGGGCTTTCTGGATACTCTCCCTTGTCTTTCACACTTTCTAACAAACACCAGTTTCCTTTATTGATGTCCTCCTCGGAGAATTCTGGATTCTGTATTTGGTGGTCGATCAGGAGCTCTCCTGCTATGGCCCATCATAGCTGGTTCTTTCTTGGAAGGTGTTTGATGTGCAGCGGAAAGTCACGTACAAGAACTTGAACAGCTGGTACCAGGAGCTGAGGGAATTCCGTTCGGAGATTCCGTGCATTGTGGTGGCCAACAAAATTGATGGTGAGTAGATCTTCTTTCAGCCTCTCAGGATTGTGATGTGATTCTCTTCAGAGAATCAGGCTGACAGTGACGTTCATCTGTTAGGTCCAGATGAGTTCTTGAGTATTAGTCCCTCAGGCTATATTTTACCAGTGAATAACTGGGCCCTCTGCTGACCTTGATGCTGTCTTACAGGCACTTGAAAATACAGTTTGATCCATTTAAAGTTTATTCAAATTATGTCCTTCCAATTCTGTCCTTACCCCACTGCCCATTGCATCCAGCAAGAAACCAAAAGCTGGTTGGAGCAGTACCTAATAAAAAATTGCAGGATGCCTTGCTGGAAGAGGAGCATAACCTGTTATGTGGCTTCCCTTGGCACAGTCAGTAACGGCCCTTGTATTGCTAATTCAGGCTGCAGGTTTCTGTGGAACTCTGTGCTGAAGTGTCTATAATATACCTGATGGCAAAATTGTTTGCCTTCCTGTGCCAATGACTGAATGCCTCCCTCTCCTTAGGAATGCCAGCTAGGCATTCCACATGTTAGTGCTGTCACTTGGGTTGTAACTTGTCTCCTCCATCCTGTGAGAGTGCATAACGCCATCAGCTTTCTCCCCAGCATCGACAAGAGAACACATACCCTTAGGACCAGAGTCTCCTGCTGTTCTCTGTCAAGTACAGTGTCAGACGTGGGCTTCCTTGCTGACATTCATGGTAGAAATCATCATAGCTATGAATACTTGTGTCCACCTGAATAAGGTGTCCGGGCTTCCACTGCAGTCTACAGCAGTTCATTTGGTTCAGCAGTGTGGCTTAGGGCATAACTGAGCTTACTTAATGAAAGCCTTTCCTATAGTATGTGTCAAGCCAGCCTTGAATCCACTGGTTGCATGGACCATAGAGGAAGTCCGAGGCAAATGGATTTGGTGTTGACAGGCATATTGTAGGCAGAACCTCTGTGTAGATGAATCCTGATCATGGTGTTCTATGTGTGAGTGCACACTATTCCAGGGGAGTCCTTTGCCCTGCCTTCCTTTGCTGTATTCCACCTGGACTAGGAAATGATCAGCTCACAGCTCTTATCACAGGCCCAGTATGCAGAGCAGTTGATCCAGCTTCCTGCAGAGAGGCCAGGAGTGGCTGCCAAGGCAGTGCTCACGGGCAGCACTTGGAGTCTGAACTAGTTCGGCTGCTGCTGTGTGAGACAAGGCAGATCATCCCCCTGTGCGCATACAGGCTGCCTATCAATCACAACTGAGTTGCTCCTGCTCTGCCAGCATGGCATCTAAATATGCAGTAGAGTTGTTCCAAACCTGAAATAAAGCCTCTGGCCTACTGAGGTTGGGACAGCTGGACCTAACTGCCTGTTAAGTAAAAATACGTAACAGTTGGGTCATTTATGTACTGTGAGCATGCCCTGGACACACAGGAGTACGGGTACATGCCATAAAGGCAGGGAGGAGTTCTGGTTAATAGGCCAGACTGAAGGGAGAGGCATTACTTGTAATGGTGATGGTATCCAGGTCATATGGACACAGCCAAAATCACAGGGATGTGCATAGGAAACAGTTGCTGCAGGGCAAGTGAATGGGTATTTTCTAAGCTGTTGTTCATTTATAGCACATCAGAATCCATCTATAATTTAGTCAAACACCGTGGATAATCAACAAGAACTCTTTCTTTTAGTGTCTCTCGTCAATAGTTTGCTGATGCTGTTGCTTTTAAAGCCCTGTGGCTGTTGGGGAGGACTCTCCTAGCCTTGTACTACAGTGAGGGGGCCTTGACTGCTGATCTGTTCCACCACTCCTGCACATGTTGACATTCTGCCTGCAGTGATATCTTACTGACCATTTCTCGTCTTGTCCCCAGCGGATATGAAGGTGACCCAGAAAAGCTTCAACTTTCCCCGGAAGTTCAGTTTGCCCTTTTACTTTGTGTCTGCTGCAGATGGCACCAATGTAGTGAAGGTAGGACAACAGATATTTGACTCAGCATACATGAGACCTGTATGTAGGCAGAGAGCAGAAGATGGGCTGGTGCATACATGTTTGCCAACTTGTGAGGTCTGGTAGCTATAGGTACTTGCAGAGTTTTGTTTTTATTTTTCTTGAGGTGTGGGAACAGTTTCTGTATGTTTCAGAAACCCAGTGCCCCTTCACTTTGAGTGACAAGTATTCTCCTCCTCATCAGCTCTTCAACGATGCCATCAAACTGGCAGTTGCTTACAAACAGAATTCAGGAGATTTCATGGATGAGGTCATGCGAGAACTGGAGGTAAGAAAGGCTCTACTTACTGCCCTCCTCCTAAGAGCAGCTCTAGGCCAAAACCTTGTAGGCATGGGAAGATTTGCCTTATAGTAGTGACACTATGGGGTTTGTGTGCTGCTCGTGTCTAGGTTGGAAGGGGTGAGGTGGTGATCCTCTGAAGAGCCTGCACTGCCCTAGACCAAAGTTGAAAGAATCACAGCACAGTATAGCTATTGCTCTCATGCTTCTCAGCAGTTCCTTGTCCTGCTCCTTTCCAGAGCTTTGACCTGCAGAAAAGTGACAATTCGTTGGATCAAGAGGAGAGCTGCCCTGAAGAGAATCCGCCATCTGCCTAAGCCCTGGACTCGAGTCTGAGTTTCCCTTTGTTCTAGGTTTCTGGGGCTAATTAAAGCTGGCCTTCACAAAGGGAAGTAATTTTTCTCTTGCCCTGAGAGCTCATCTGGGGTTCTCCCACTCTTCTGGGAGTGGCCTGAGCTGCTGCATATCATGGTCAAGGAGAGGGTGAGAATATCCACAAGGCTGCTGGTTACTGCTTGCTTCTTCAAGGCAAAGCTTGCCTGGAGAGTTCAGCCACTCTGGGACCTACAGGGAAGGGACCTGTCTGGAAGCTTTAATGGTACCTATTGGAGAAAGCAAACACTAAAAACTATTTGTACTTTTATATATATATATAAAACTCTGAGCCTACATCCTTCCTGCGCTTCTGTACTAAAGCAGTAGTCCAGTTACTATACAATATTAAGTCCCAACTGCCAGCCCTCCCCATTGCTTTTCCCAAGCAGCACTGCCTCTTCCCATGTGTGTGAGCTCTGGTGTTATTTCTTTGGGTTTCCTTCCCCATTCTGTTATGGAGCAGCCAGATCCAGTAGACTTCCAGCACAGCTTCTCCTTTCAGGTCTGCTAGAGCTGAATCAGGTGGAATGACACCCAGGATGCTTGTCCTATCCCAGCCTGATGGATGTGGCTGCTGCTGCTCCCATGTGTATGTTCAGGAAACTTGTGCTGCATAAGTCTAATTTCAAGTTCACCAGTGCATTGTACACACCTAGAGGGATCCCACCAGTAGCTGGCCTAAGACATGTTTCCAACTGCTGTCCCCGTAATCTCTGTGCCCTTCTGCTGTACCGTCACCCTCCTCTGAGCCGGCCCATTTGGGTGACACCTCACAGATAACTGAAGGAAGAGCTGGGAGCATTTTAGGAAGAGGCATCTGACAGGGACAGCAGCACCCAGGCAGTGTGATGGAAGTCCAAAGTGACCTTGCTATCAGCACCTCAAACGTCAAATCTGTTCACAAATGCAGCAAATCTCAGAGGAAGATGGGAAAAAGAACCAGGGGTAGATCGCTTGTCTGGGACAAGAAAAGGGTGGAGAAAGAGGAGTCAAGGAGGATGGGGGGATGTATAAGCATGGAAAATGGACAGAAACAGAGATAAAGGAGCCATTTACAGATAAGCAACTGCTGATTGTTTTGCTTGTTTGACTGAGCCTTGTACCTAATCACAGTCTGTCCAGCCTTCTTTTTGAGAGTGACTCCAGATGGTGTTCTGTGTAGCCCCAGTCTGTACCTGGCTGCAGCAATGGCAGAAGGAACATAGGCCATAGGGACCCAGCAGCTGGAATCACCAGCCAGCTGCTGGTGGGAGTGCTCTGGGGGGGTGTGCAGTTCACTAGTGAACTTGAAGGTGCTCACGAGCAAGAGGAGACATAGATCTGGAAAGACCCAAGGTCTGTGCCAGCTGCTGGGTAAGTAGCTTGACATCCAGCCGCAGACATTAACTGAATTCCCATGCTCATATTTAAGGAATCTATGAACATGCTGTGCTTGTGAATCTAGGGAGTGATTTGTGTGTATGTTCCAGTCCTGATCAGCTGGAGAGGAAGATGAGTACTGGGCTTTTTGTGTTAAGTGGGTTCTGGGAAAGGTCCTGCTCTATGCTATTTTGGTTTGCCATTCATGCTTTTAAAGTATGTGTGCATGTTCTTGAATGTGATCTGGCTCTTTAGAAGCCCAACTAAGCAACTCACATCATTGGGTTGAGACAGGAGAAACCTCCTGAGAATGAGAGTGCTCCCAATTCAGCTCCAGCTCTTCTGCAAGGAGGAATTCCCTGGGAACACAAACACAGCATGCACAAAAACTGTGTGCACACCCTGTATTCACACACAGGGTGTGTAGAGACACACATGGGGTACAAAGAGAAGGTGCAGTGCACAACCAGAGTGTGCACACCCAGACTCTGAAACACCTGTCTTGAACACAAGGGCAGTGCAGAATGTTCACATACACAAAGAATGCCTGTGTGTGCAAAACTGGCTCACCCCCCCCCCCATACACAGGCAGTGCATGCACACCCTACAAGACACATAACATGCAGAATGCACTCACCCTTACATCCATGCATCTGCCCACGTGCATGCTCACAGCGTACCCAAGTGCTGAATGCCACATAGAATGCCCCTCCTATAGATGCAAATGCAAACTCGCACGTGCATGAATGCATACATACATGTTTATGCACAAGTACAGGCATAAGCACATGCCCACGCTTCATACATGCAGAGATACAGAGCAAAGTGCCTGTGCTTTGTGCAGCATCTTGGTACCTGCTGTACTCTTCTTTTGGATAAACTGTGCAGATAGAGGCTTTCAGGATATTCTGCCTCCGTTCCCTTCTCTGCCTGGTTTTGAGCTTTTTCTGGTTTTCAAAAGCAGACACTGCAGTGGGGTACAGCCTTCCCGGGTGTTGAACCTACCCCTTTTCCCCTTGTTCTCCGTATCACTCCCTTCCCTCAGAGAGCTGCTGCTCCTCTTTGCACTGTCCCTTCTCTGTTCACAAGTCATAGATCTGCAGGACATGAGCTCCTATATTCAGGCACAAGCTGCAGTCTTTGAGGCTGAAGGCGAAACTCCGCCGTTGCTGTACGCAAACACGCTTGGCTTGAAGAGCGCCCAGGCTCCCACAGAGCGCAGCCTGCTCCCGGCAGCGCCGCACTCTCTGCCTGGCCCGTCGGATCCTGCTCCCTCCGCGCACCACAACAGCAGCTTCCTTGGCTCTTCCCGAAGGCAGGAAGCCCGGAGCAGTGGCCTGGGCCGGCAGCTGCTGCCAGCCACGGAAGGGTGACAGGCGGTTCCCCCCGGCCACGCAGCCCCAGCGCAGCGGACACAGCGGTTCCACCCAGCCCCAGCGCAGCGGACACAGCGGTTCCCCCCGGCACCCAGCCCCAGCGCAGCGGACACAGCGGTTCCACCCAGCCCCAGCGCAGCGGACACAGCGGTTCCCCCCGGCCACGCAGCCCCAGCGCAGCGGACACAGCGGTTCCACCCAGCCCCAGCGCAGCGGACACAGCGGTTCCCCCCGGCACCCAGCCCCAGCGCAGCGGACACAGCGGTTCCACCCAGCCCCAGCGCAGCGGACACAGCGGTTCCCCCCGGCACCCAGCCCCAGCGCAGCGGACACAGCGGTTCCACCCAGCCCCAGCGCAGCGGACACAGCGGTTCCACCCAGCCCCAGCGCAGCGGACACAGCGGTTCCCCCCGGCACCCAGCCCCAGCGCAGCGGACACAGCGGTTCCCCCCGGCACCCAGCCCCAGCGCAGCGGACACAGCGGTTCCACCCAGCCCCAGCGCAGCGGACACAGCGGTTCCCCCCGGCACCCAGCCCCAGCGCAGCGGACACAGCGGTTCCACCCAGCCCCAGCGCAGCGGACACAGCGGTTCCACCCAGCCCCAGCGCAGCGGACACAGCGGTTCCACCCAGCCCCAGCGCAGCGGACACAGCGGTTCCACCCAGCCCCAGCGCAGTGGACACAGCGGTTCCACCCAGCCCCAGCGCAGCGGACACAGCGTGCACCCAGCCCCAGCGCAGCGGACACAGCGGTTCCCCCCGGCACCCAGCCCCAGCGCAGCGGACACAGCGGTTCCACCCAGCCCCAGCGCAGCGGACACAGCGGTTCCACCCAGCCCCAGCGCAGCGGACACAGCGGTTCCACCCAGCCCCAGCGCAGCGGACACAGCGGTTCCACCCAGCCCCAGCGCAGCGGACACCCGCTCGCCGCCACACGCCGGGCACCCGGGGCAGCCCCGGTCCGGCACCGCCGCTCCCAGCTGCCTGCGGCGGACAACAACTCCCATCACGCCCCGCGGCGGAGCTAGGTCACGTGGTGCGCCGTGTCCGTGGCCGGTACCGGCGGGCTCTCTCCGGTGGCAGCGCAATGGGGCCGTGGGCCCTGCGGCTGCCCTGGGCCATGGCGGTTTTGGCCCTCTTGGCCTTGCGCGGAGCGGCCGCCGCCGCCGCCCCCCCCAACTTCGTCCTGGTGCTGGCGGACGATTTGGGTTTCGGGGACCTGGGCAGCTACGGGCACCCCTCGTCTGCCACGCCGCACCTGGACTGGATGGCGTCCCGAGGACTGCGGTTCACCGACTTCTACAGCAGCTCCCCCGTGTGCAGCCCGTCCCGGTACGTGCCCCGCGGCTCCCAGCCCGCTGTCCGGTGGCTGCTGCGGGGCCCCGGGGAGGGCACCGAGCTCGGGAAGCGTCGAGGCAGGGCTGGGCACCCACCGGGAGCTGCGGTGCTGGGAGGAACGGGGGGGGGTGAGGAGGTCGCTGTGCCCCGGGGGCTGCTCGGTGCGGGGCCGGTGCAGACGGGGTATCTGCGGCTGGGGCAGCTGTGGGCTGCCAGGGCCCGAGGCGGGGATAGGGTCCCTCTTTGGGGAAGGACCCGCTCTGTGCTCTATCCGGTCTTCTCTCTCCTAGGGCAGCCCTGCTGACAGGCCGGTTCCAGGTGCGCTCCGGGGTCTACCCGGGGGTGTTCAGCCCAGGCTCGCGGGGGGGGCTGCCGCTGTCTGAGGTCACCATCGCAGAGGTGCTGAAGGCTGCGGGCTATGCCACAGCCATGGTTGGCAAGTGGCACCTTGGCTTGGGGATGAATGGCTCCTTCCTGCCCATCCACCAGGGCTTCGACCACTTTCTGGGAGTCCCTTACTCCCATGACCAGGTGAGAGGCCTGTGGAGCTCTGAGGGGTGTCCTGGAGCTGGCTGGGAGCAGTGCCTCACAGATGAAGCTGCTTGAGAGCACGTGGGCCAGGCCAGTGCTTTCCTTGGCAGATGGGTGAGGGTGGCTGCAGGCCAGGGAGATGGGTGCTGATGGGAAAGTCCATCTCTGAGGTGCTTGTGTGGTTGGGTACGTGTGCATGGGGACATTGTCCTTTGTCAGGGGAGAGAGGGTCAGATTCTGGGCTACAAAGAAACATCTGCATGAGAAAATGGGGTGATCCTTGGATGGGTGGCTGGGCACAGAGCCCTGGCCTTCTGGGAGAAGCTCCCTAGAGGGTGCCTGTAGGACCTTGTGGTAGGCTGCTGTGAGAGTGCTCCCCTCCCTGTCCTGCTCACAGGTAAACCAAAAGGTGTTACTTGTTCTCTCCAGGGCCCCTGCCAGAACCTCACCTGCTTCCCACCTGACATCAAGTGTTTTGGGACCTGTGACCAAGGCATAGTACCAGTCCCGCTGTTCTGGAACCAGAGCATCGTGCAGCAGCCGGTCTCTTTCCCTGATCTGGTGCCACTCTACAATAAATTCTCACGGAACTTCATCGCTGACTGCGCCCGACAAGGCATCCCCTTCCTGCTCTACTACGCCTCCCACGTAGGAGAGGGGAGCGCTGTTGCGGGTCCAGGGGTGGGGAAGGGACCCTTTGTCCTCCATGGAGAGCAGCGAGTGTCTCAGCTCCTGCAGCCCAGCACTGTGCTGAGTAGTCAGTACGTGCTGCTGGGTGACCTGGGGGTGGTGGTTCTGTGCCCTGGCATTGTGGCAGCACCGTGCTTATGGTGTTCTTGGGCTGCTTCTTCCTGGAGCTTTTCCTGCTTCCCTGGGCCAGGTGTTCACCCAGGAAAACTCCCCACCCCAAGTCTGCACATGTCTCCCTTGTGCCATTTATGAGAGATGCTTCTGAAGCTTGGGGACAAGCCTCCTTTCACCTCATGGGTATTGTCGCCTATCTCCATGGCCTAGCTGGGGTGCTGGCCATCTCTGGGTGAACTGGGAACAAGAAGCAGCTCTGGGAGTTTTCGTAGCAGTCTTCTCTGCCCTTTCTCCAGCATACCCACTACCCCCAGTTTGCAAGCCAGGAGTACACAGGGCAGTCACGGCGTGGGCCATTTGGAGATGCACTTGCAGAGTTTGATGGTTCAGTGGGACAGCTGCTACAGGCACTGCAGGAAAGTGGTCTTGCAAACACAACCTTGGTGTTTTTCACCTCTGACAATGGGTGAGTGGGCTCAGCTCGGGGGGCTTTGTTGTTTTCACAGCTAAGGTAAGATTCTGCTGCCATGGTGCGAGGGAAGTGGCATGAGTTCGCTGGGGGAGAGGGCACATGGCATTGCCAGGTGAGATCTCAAGGACCTGAAGTGAGGCAAGAGGTGGATCCTGCTCCGGAGAGGACCCAGTGCATGATCTGCTCCTTGATCTTGTGACTCAGCTGTGCCCCTCGTGGACAGAAACCTCACAGGATTCAGGCCAGGAGTGGGCTGTAGCTCGAATAGACCCAGTTCCATTGGTGTGGGGGTGTAGTTGGTCTCTGGTGCCCTGCTTAGGCCTCTTGCACACCTTAGCTTCTTCACCTGCCCCATACCTCCTGCCTCCTGAGGCTGAGAAGTATGGCAGTGTCACTTGCTGGCACCGTGTCTCTCTTGTCATGACCCTCTTAGCGGTACTAGGGAAGGGGTAGTGTGGACCTGTGAAACTTGATGGTAGGTGGTTCTTCTCTCTCACAGCCCTTCCACCTTGCGGATGGCACGTGGAGGCAGCTCTGGCCTCCTGAGGTGTGGGAAGGGCACAACATACGAAGGTGGCATGCGGGAGCCAGCGGTGGCTTATTGGCCAGGCCGTATCACTCCAGGTGAGACTTGGGATTGCTTGTCCCTGTTGCTGCTGATGCCAGCTGAAGCAGCTTGGCTGCCCCGGGACAAGCAGAGGATGGGAGGGAAGTGGGAATGCAGGGATGGGAGTGGGATCAGACACTTGA